ATTTTGACAAGATATATGTAAAAGCATCTTTATATCACGGAATAGATCTTATTGCAAATAGAGAATCAGCCTGTGTTTCTCCTTCAAATCCGCGTTGGAGTGATGTAAGTAGAATACACGTTCTTTTTTTTAAATTACGGTATATATTGTCAGATTTTCGAAGTTGATAATATATTATTTGATTTTTAGGGCTGGATCGATTTCGATGTACATTTAAAAGATTTGGCTCCGTCTGTACAATTGTGCCTTTCTCTAGTTGCCGTAAAACAAAAAAAGAAAGAGGTTAATTTCATTTTCTTCATTTGCTTTTCAAACGTACACAGTCTTTTCCAGATGTGGTTTGCTAATTGTATTTTTAGGAATATAGTGGAATTGGTTGGGTGAATATACGCCTTTTCGATTGTGACGAGAAGCTCATTCAGGGAAAATTTATGCTTTATTTGTGGCCTTTTCCGAAGTATTGCACCGAGCTACTTTATCCATCTGGACAAGTAACACTTTTATGTCTGACCGAAAAATTGCAGCCAAGAATTATAAGGCTTTTGAATTTATTATCAGGTATTGTAAATACTAAAGATATCCGGATATTCACTGTAATTCGTCTATCGATATTGATGCAGCCTTCTGCCGGATTCACAGTATTAGTTATTAAATCGTTATTTCAATTTACACATATTTTTACTTTGGACTGCTGCATATAAACGCTGAATGTAGCAGCATATTTTCTTCATCAAATCTGTGCTTTAGTTTGCTTGCATATTTGTTAGCACCACATAATGATGCAACCACAATAAACTTTGTTTAACATTTTGAATTATTTTCTTAGTTTATAAAGTATAAATGATAATCAAACTGTGTAAAGTATTCAATATGTTTAGGTAGGATCAAATGACAATCATGATACAGTTCGTATAGAAGTAGAATTTGAAGATTATGGATGTGTAGAATTCCCAGATATAGATTCAATGTGCGAATATGTCGAAAAACTGGATGCTTACGGTGGAAAATTGCGTTTACAAGCTTTATCATCAGTAATTATTTCATACTTATGATTCATGAGAATTTATTGTTTCATAAGTATAAGAAAGGTTTTCTAGCCAGCCAATTCAATGAAGGAATTTCTTGACTCCTTACGTTTTGTGGATGCTGAATATTTGACCGATAAGCAAATGGAACATTTATGGGAAGCAAGGTGATTTTTAGAATTAGTGATCAGTTCTTTTTACTTTTATCTTAATGAGTTGATAACTGCTGACATTAAGTCATATCGGAACCTAACTATTCCTTAAGTTAGTTGCTCGGAATGTTAATTGCCTATTTCAGAGAGTTAGTTGCACAGTATAAACCTGATTTATTGCCACTAATTGCGCATTGTCCCTTGATTTGGACGAGAAGAGACGAATTTTCACGACTATACGAATTACTAAAACGGTGGGGTAAAATTCAACCAGAGACAGCTCTGATGCTTTTGGATTGTAAATATCCTGATATCAGAATCCGAGAATTTGCAGTAGATTCGCTTGATAATGTTTTGGATAATGATAGATTACAGCTTTATATCTTGCCTCTCATTCAGGTAAGGTTGTTCTTTATAAAATATTGAGCAATGCATTTGAACTATAAGCAAAAATAAATATATTGGAGCCTACATAATAATGTACTGCGTTACAGTATGATTTTTTACCTCGAACTCTATTATTTTGCACTAAACTATCGATGTTGTAACGAAATTAGATGCTCTTTTGACTACAGGTTTTGAAGTTTGAGCCGTATGGGTCATGTGCTTTAAGCAGGATGCTTCTGAAAAGAGCTCTGTGTAACAATCGCATTGGTCATATACTGTTTTGGTTACTACGAGCTGAACTTGGACAACTAAGTAATTATCTCCTTACAAGAAAATAATATAATTTTACAAGTTAAATTTACCACTGGTCAAACTTTCAGGTGAAGTAGGTCAAGATTTAACAAAGATTTACAAACGTTTCGCTTTAATGATTGAAGCCTATTGTCGAGCTAACTATACTCATCTTAATTCTATGTTACGACAAGTGGATATGGTAGTAAGGTTGACAAATCTTAGTAAAATTATCAAAACCATGAAGGATAATGAATGCGCTACCAAGGTTAACAGTTCCCAAAGCATTTCAGCTTTTTACTGTAAGTTACTGACCATATCACTCGATACTAAGGTATTTCTTCTCTTAGTGCAGCCAATATATTTATTTCACCTGCCTTCCAATTATTGTTTTATTGTTACTTATTATGCTGGGAACTTTTCAGATGTCCATGTCATAGCCTAATTTTTTATGGATGGGGAAATAAATTATCATGCACTTAAATTTAATGCTCGTTTTTTTAGCATTTGCAAAAGGAATTGGCATCATGCGTGGAAATAATGCAGAATATGATCTCACCTTTAGATGTTTCCAATAGTTTAGGCGCATTAAAGTAAGCCTTTTTCAATTATTTTAGTTATGTAAAAACCAATGCTAATATGTTTATTTAGAAAATTTTGCAAAACACGAAAATATGTGGTCTTTTTAGCATTGAACTGTGTAAAGTGATAGGGAGTGCGAAGCAACCACTCCGACTGGCCTGGACTAATCCAGAACCTCTTGCTCGGTTGCACAATGAGACGCATCAGATTATCTTCAAGAACGGTGATGGTAGGCATTATTTTTATAATTTTGGAATTTTACCAATAGTTGTGGTTATTATAATCATGTGATCAGTTTTGTTCAAAAAGCTCAATTGAAAGAGCGTTTGCTTCTGATTAAATTTCAAGTCTACATCCATGATTTTGTTGCTAAGATTGCTTGGGCTGATACTGCTAAGATCGCAGCATTAGTTTATGTGCTTTAAGTTTGCTGATGTTAAATTTTAGATCTGCGACAAGATATGCTAACTCTACAGGTTATGCGTATTATGGATGCACTGTGGAAAAGTCAAGATTATGATCTCTGTTTAAGCATTTATGAAGTACTGCCAATGGGAAGAAATGTAAGTTATGAAGAACGCTTCTGAGCATTTAGTAGAAGAAATTTTTTTTTTTATAAACAATTATTGCGATTGGGTACTTTGTAGTATAAAAGTAAAGAGAATAACTTGCAGGTTGGAATGATTTATGTTGTTCAAAACTGCAGTACACTTTTCGAAATTCAGTGTGCTGCAAAGCAGCTTGGCTCAACGTTCAGTATGGAAAGTGGTCTTATTAACAAATATATACGAAATTATTCGGAAAATTCGAAAGTGTACGTTCACAGCTCCGAGAAAAAAACTGTAACACAAAACTTTCACAAGATATCGAATTTTTTTCTAATCCCAAAAATAAGTTAGGGTTAGGACGAATCCATCAGGTTTGGTCAAAACATTTTAACGCAAAGCTATTTTTTCCATTTTATTCGCAGTCCTCCCAATTCATTCTACAATGAAGCAGTAATAAGGAAATGATCCTTTGATAAGGTACTTTTTAGAAACCGTTTTTGGAAGTTTAATTATGAATTTTCTTGCAGATATCTGGAAGGAGTTGATCGTTTTACTGCTTCGTGTGCTGGATACTGTGTTGCAACATATGTGTTGGGAATCAAGGACAGACATCAAGATAATATCATGCTAGCCAAAGATGGGAGGGTACTTATTGTAACGTTAACTTTGATAATTTTTGTTATTTTCTATAACTTCCGATTTTTATTTTGCAGCTGTTTCATATCGATTTTGGACATTTTTTGGGGCACTATAAAAAGAAATTAGGTATTAATCGTGATCGAGTGCCATTTGTTTTGACCGATCATTTTCTGTGCGTTATAGCCAAGGGCAAAAGCAATTTCCGTGATAGCCACGAATATAAAAAGTGAGTAAACACATATCTCTCCATAGTTTTCTTATTTGTTGAAAAAGAATGAAATTAAAATTTTTAAGGTTCAAGAAGCTATGTACAGATGCATATATTATATTGCATCAACGATCCAAGTTATTTATTTCGCTCTTTTCGATGCTGCTGTGTATGGGGCTTCCTGAGCTGCAAACGGTAGCTTATCATTAGAATTTTTAACTTTTTTTCCTTGAAAAGTCTGCAAAACTATAGTCTTTCTTGAATTTATAAATTGTGCTGTTTGTGTAATGAACGAGACTTTATTTTAGAGAGAAGATATTGATTTCTTGAAAGGAACATTATGCTCTGATATGGATTCCGCCCTTGCAACTACATCGTTTTACAAAATTTTTGAAGAAGCCTTTAGCGGCGCATGGTCAACTAAAACTAATTGGTTCTTCCATTCTGTTAAACATTTATAGTTTTTGGAAAAATTCTGCCTAGTTCTAAACTGTCCCAAACTATAAAAACATCTGGTAGCAAATGGCATGGCTTTAAAGCCTCTCGGATCCTTTTTAAATCTCAATAGGGAAGTTTGCTTTTTATGCTTCTTTTTGATACGGTGACAGGAAGGTAACTGTTTAAGGAATAGCTCTAAAAAAGGAACATGATCGTTAAATTTAAAATTCCGTATTTTATCTAGCTTATTTCTGAATAAACTGTACTTTATATATATATGTTGTTTGGGTGCAAGAAACAGAAGAACTTTGTCAGCAATTTTAATCACTTCATTTATTTTTAAAGTGACCCAAAACAAAATATCAACAACATGAATGAATTGAAAAACTTTGCAATAACAAATATTTTGGCTTTGTGATCAGTGTCTATTTTGCAAAAGAAAGCAACTATGAAGGTTTTGTAAAAACAGTCCGCAAAATAGAATAGGTTTGAAAAAAGGATTCAAAAACAAGACTTGTGAAAAGGCACATTGAAAATTTGACTATCATCGACAATTGCTCAAGTGAAATAAATTAATAAATTTTCTGAGGATTTATTACATCATACAAAACATATTAGAGAGCTAAACGGAATGAATACATGGCCTTTAATTACATTGTCTTGCAAAGCATTTATGTGAGTAAAATATAAAGTTTAAAGTTTTTCTCAGAGTGAATGATGGAACTGAGACTCACCTTCCGATTCGACGATCTCTTGATGAGTATTCATGGAGATATGAAAGGAATTGCTGATACGAAAAATTACTGGGAAGGCTTTTCAACTGCAATATTTCCGTTATCCTTAATACCCATGGAGAATAATCCGCCATTGTTCCCAAATTACCTATTTGGAGTAGGAAGTCCGGTTCCCAAATGTGTTCTCTAGCAAGATATTCTGATATTTTCTCGATTGTTATGTTTTCCGGCGCACATTCCATGCAAAGCTGAAAGTAATTCAATAAAATAAGTCAAAAAAATTTAAGAGACTTGTTATAATATCCTTGTATTCTAGCTAATATGACACAGTTTGGCAATCAAAACACGGGATTATTAAATTTCTGGGTACGGGTATAAACTTACCCAGTTTTGACCACTGTGGAAAGCAGACCCTAAATTACAATATACTTTTTTTAATCTTCAGAGGCATTCCCATCCGCTCCCAACTTATTGTTTCATTTACATAATCCACTGTATTAAAGATGGAATAATGCAAATCCTTAAAAGCGATTTAAACTGTTAACAAAATATACTCTTCGGCAAGCTCGAACTATGGATTGTCTTCCGTCTCGTGCACCAAGTATTTTAACAGTAGTATAGGTGATGTTCGGATTGATCATGAAATGGTCGGAATCGTAAAATTCCACATCAACAAGCTGCTTCGAGCATGCCTTCCGCATAATATCATGCGTTAACCTTCGCAGAAGTTCTCGTTTCGAAAAAATATATGACCATGGGTCGTATAGAGTAAGTCTTGTGATGCCAGCGCTTGCACTATGAACAATCAATTTACTCAGAGCTTCCTAAAAAACATTCTTTAAACTGACGATATGACAGGAATATCATCGCAGCTTAGTACTTCGAAGAGGGACATATAGCTAGTATGGATAATTAAGATTAAAAAATTTAAGTTGATTCGCTCAATAAATGATGCATTTCCAATGAATTCGCAAATTACCTTACTTATCAGAAATTCCACATTTTAGTAGTTAGTTACTTACATTAATTCTTAAAGTTGTTAACATAATAATATTAACAATGGAATAGAGAACGCCACTGATTTACAAGCGTTCATTTAGGAATCTTGAATTTTTAGCAAAAATCTTTTGATACTAAAATATGTAGATACGTAGATCAAATTTTCATGAAAATTTGAAGAATGATGCACTTATCTTTTAGAATTTCAAACTGCAAAAAACTTCGAAACTTCAAAATTTAAAGTGGAACTTAAATAAAAAACCTACAAGAGAAATAGCATATTTATCGGTGTATAGGACAGCGAGATGATTAGGAAGCTGATGAGATTGAGAGTTGCTGTCGGCGCTATAGAAAAGGCTTTTAATGATAAGTGATGGCTTGGAGATATAATTGAGGATTACTTCCAAGAAAGTGTACGCAAACCTTAACCACTCCACCACAACATTCAGCATCTCCAGTTGATCAGCTCACAAAAGCATCGACAACTTCCGTCTGAACGAACATCTCTCGAACACTTCACTTTTTCACAGACCGCAATTATGTCGAGATCGATGAGGGAGTGCATAGTGCGGGGAGTTTTAGGTGCCTCTGAGAGTTGTGAAGTCTTACAATCGTAGAATGGAGAGGTCTGAGGGAATATCTTATTTCTAAGTTGGTGTCCTTGCTGTCTAATGTTTCAGTAAGGAAAGTACTAAAAGTTGTTTCCCGCTTACCAATACTTCTTTCTTTAGATTGCGAATTGAACTTTATTATTACTCTCTGCCAATCTTTTTTATCCTTCAGCAGTACTTCTTTTAGATCTCAAGGAAGAAGGAAGTTGAGCTCTTTTGGGACTTGTTCATTTTCAGGCTGTATTTGTGATGATGGGGCATGACCATGGACCAAAAATACCATCGTATACAGTATATGATAATTATCGTGAGATACCGAAACTACGAGCACATGAGGAAAGGCTAGCACGGATCGGTCTAAAAGATCCTTGGATAAGGTATGTGTTGTTACTATGAAAGATCTAGACTATATGATATCCTTAATTTTTATTTGGAAAAAACTAACTTCTCTATTATAAATTGTTCACATTATATTTGGAGATTCACATTTGTGTATAAAGATAACATCACCAATTTTATTACACATATTATACTTTCCTTCTTTTATTATTACTGTCATCTATTTTGGGAACTGCAGATTTAAGGAAATGATTTATTTCTTTGTTGATAAATGACACATGCAAATGGTATTTGGCTAATTAGTAACCAGATTAAATTATGCGTAGTTATCGAATTTTTCTTCAGTCCTGTATCTTTCGTCGTTCAGTGCTATGTATATCATTTTACTGATTCCATAAAAGTTGGAAACGGGATTTCATACTATTGTACTCACAACTTTTCAAATTTATGGCATATTTTGGTAGCTTATTTCATGTCATAAACTAAATTTCTTTCTTGATATTTTCAGAATTGATTTAAAAATTCTATTAGTGTTTCTCATTTTTAGGAATTATTCATATTTGTTTATGGGACGATTTGCTGGCGACTCCTGGGGTAGTTTTAAATATATGATTCGTGCTGGATGGAAGTTAGGATGTGGTGTTGCAGCTGCAGTAATAGCCGTTGAAGAATCATACATGTACTGGAAATATGGTCATACACATTGGGGAAAAGAACATCATTAGAATCAGAATCAATTCTCTTCCATGTAATCATCTCAATTCTATATGTTGTTTAGACTAACTATAGTGTAATTTTAATATTTTCGCATTTGAAAGAAAAACAATTTAAATAATGCCGAAATTATTACGAAACAAATTTTATGCGTGCTTTGTATGATTATAGTTTGTGAACTCTTCAAGGTCTCTGAATCGTTAGAGGGACTTTTCTGGAAACCTGTAGGCCTTTTAATATGTAAATATCACACTTTATGTTATAAAGCTTATGTCATATTGTACAGGTTTTTGTCCACAAGCGCTCTTATAATAGTGAAAAGCCCTTCCTTTTGATGGAAATAGTGTAAATAACTGACATAAAAATTTATTTTTCTCTTTGAAAGTGTTTTCTCAAAAAAAAAAAGGGGTTTCATACTACGTTGAAGATGCAAATGAGACACGAAACCAGGCTAAATATCGCAAATTCAATATCGCAAGTTATATTTTAGATTGAAGAATAAATTTTGTGAAACTATTTCGTCAGCATTATTTGTCAAATATAACTGTCGATAATTTGGATTTGTTCATCTTATGTTCAGTTTTTAGGGAGGAAAGAGTGAGGGATGGGTAAAAGTTTCTTTTCTGCCATTAACCTTCCTGATTTTTGAAAAACAACAAAAAGTTGAAAATGCATCAGTAGTCTGTCACTATTCTGTTTTTATTCCATCAACCAATTATTAAAATGGGAGTGTTTGGCCTGTAAAATAGGTCAGTAATTGAGACTTCCGATAATATCTCAGTGAATAGAGATCGGACTGATTTAGCTTGAATGTTTCATTTTCAATTCCTTCCTCTCTTCTGTATGCAGTGAGCGATAGTGTGATTCATTGTACTTCTGGGTTTTTGTCATGTTATGCAGTTCCGAAAAACGATTTCGACAAGTACAGTTGGGGTAATCGTCAGTTATTGAATGCAGTCACTAGGAGTTTTTGCTGTTTGCTTTCTTTTTATCGGTAACAGCTTTGAGTATTTGCAAGTTTTGCTTAGATAAAAGGGACTTGGTATTTTGGCTGAATCTATGGAAGTTTGTTATTAAATTTCTAGAATAATTATGCAGCTTATTTCGAATAAAATTTTACAAGGTCACTGTTGTTTGAAAAGTTCAACATAGCCAGCAAAAAATTAATTTCGCTCTTCTTTCATAATAAGTTTATATTAGCCTAGGTGCTACTAATTCATTGGAGAAAACAGTAAAGCAATTCACCGCTAATAGTGATCGATGGGTTGTTCCGAACAATAGTCAAAATGCAGTTGTTTCGCAACGTCAACTTTCTGGCAGGTTCCTTTGATTTTAAAAACATTTTAAAACTTTAAAATCCAAAATTTGTTCTAACTAATGACAGGGTGTCTTATTCATTGTATTCATTTGATATGAGAAATATAAGCAAAGTTTGGAATGCTATGTCTTATATGATATACTTTCTTAGACATGAAAAATTTTTCTATTTCGAATGATGATAAGGCATTGAATAAGCGGATTATTAGTGAAGAAATAAGATTTATTTAAATCAAGTTTTCATGTATTTAATGAATTGTTTGAGATTCAATGCAGCGAGCATAGTTAATTTGCTTACTGTTATCATGCAAATTTTGAACAGAAATCGGTCAAACTTGGTATCACCCAATCGGTATATGCGACAGGTCAGCATATTTTTATCCTAAATATTTTAATTGGTGGAATAACCTTGATTTTTAAGAGTTATCCGTTATCTCCAAATTTGTTCCTGATGTAAAGCTCCTCATCAGGCACGAACTAAATTTAAATTTTGTTATTTCAGTCTTACTTGTTCTCCAAGTATATATTAAAGTTAAATCTTGCTTATGACAGGAATCATTAACTTTTCCTTATGATATTACATTTTAAACTGATAAAACAAAGATCTCTCGTTAAAAAGGATTGGAATCTGAAAGAGTATGTTCAATTTACAAGTACAGAGAATGATTATAATCAAAAGCGCCAGACTTTGGCTCATCTGGACACCGGCGGAAATAATTTTGATCGCTTTATAGTATCGGAAAGGAGAAACGATAACCCATTTTTGGACTGGGTTGTAGGCAGATTTAATAGGCAAGGTCAAATTTTGATTTGTCTCAGATCTCATCAAATAATGAGTCATTTTCTTCCACACTCCATCTTACCTTTTAATCTACTCACTTATATCAGACTCCAGTTCACCATATTTTTTATACAGAATATTAGTTTAGGTTTGGATTGGTCAAATGGAAATCTCAGACTGGTCAATATACAAGGTAACAGTATACTGGGATCCGACCTAATTGTACACGATCGTAGTGTTGAAATACCTCTCAAACAGTGGCTTTATGCTTTGAATTCGATTCTTAAGCCAAGCTCTGATTATTAAAGTCGTAATTATTAAATAAGTATTAGCATATCCATGAACTATAGATACTTTTCCTTACACATATTTGTTGATTAAAATCAATAATTCTTCCAATATTCTAAGGATATGTTATTGAATAAGAGCTCTCCCTTGCATTAATTTCTTAATTTTTTTGATAACCAGAATAATCATTATTTGTTTGATGCCTCCTTGAGTAATGCAACTTCAGGTCAAGCTAGATAACTACTAACCTGTATATATGCTAATATGCTAACTTCTTTTTCTTCGTTTATTTCGTGTTAATTTTGCCCTTAAAGCAACAACAAAGCTTTGCAATGGCTTTTTATTTGCAAAAATACTTGAAATCAACTGATTAGTGCTGAAATCAGTAGTTACTGACAAAAATTATCATTCAATGTTATCCGAATATTTAATTTTCACTTTTAAATACGAAAAATTGGAAATATTTGTGCAGTACATGTCAATAGTATCACATAATAATTTCACTCCGTGTTCAATATGAAAATGTTACGTCGGTCCCCAATTATCCATATTGGCGATTATATGTCCCAAAACAGCAAAAATTGATGCTGTATACTCCAGATCTCCATCCTTGAATATCGTTATATAATCACCACCAGTATGATGAAAATAGAAATAATAATCGATGGCCTTGTCAGGTATGTAATTAACTGACGGTATTCCATCCTTAGCCCAGAACCTAACGTCACCCTGAAATTCACATTGCTAAAATTAAGCTAAAATTATTTTTTATTGGAGTTTCACCTATTACATATAAAATCATTGCTTTACTAGTTTGCCTTGATCTCTGTAAAATAATTTTCATTTCTGACTACTGAATAATCAAAAATTTCTAGTCTTCTGGTGCACAAGCTATTATTATTCGTAGAAACTGTCACATTGTTAATTAAAAGTTGCCGTAAATTATGTTCAGACTTTTCATTTTTTCATCAAATGAGTTAAAGCTGCTTTCTAACCAGTAATTTAAAATGAGAAAGAAAAGGTAATATTAAAATTTTCTTTTATTCCTTTTTTCAAATACATTGACAAGAAGAACAAAAAAGAGTCCACTGAAACTTTCTGAGAACGAGTTACCTGACTTGGGTTATTCATCAGTCCAAGCAGTATACCATTTCTGTTCAACAAGTGTACTATTTCATCCAATCGTTTCATCTTAAGAAAACTCGGTGCAATGAGTTAAAATATTCATTGAAAAATACAAACTGCTTTACGGATTTAAAACTTAGGACAGCAAGACTAATTTCGAAATAACTTTAAATAAGTTTACATGTTGCTGATCACCACTGAAGGATAGATGAGAAAACCAATTGACTGGTCTGAATGCTCCTGTATCGGTTTCAGATACAAAATAAAATGTTTCATTTGTATCATTTTTATGAGTATTATAATAATGTTTTGCACCCAAAAATCCTTGTTCTTCTGAAGTCCAAAATATTCCTCGAATTGTTCTGAATCAAAACAAACTAGTAAAGTTTTATAAAAATCTGACCTGTTATACAGGTTAGACAGGTCAGATTTCTATGAAGTTATTAATTGTAAAAAAGTCAGAATTGAATGGTCTTAGAAGCACAAAAAAGAAGATAAATTAAACGAAAGAAATGCTGAAAAATTGAAAGCAGTTCAAATGGGAAGAAAATATCCTAATTTATCAAGCTAATGAGGTAAATGTCTTAAAATGATCACAATAATTAATGTTTATTAATATTTACGTAATTTTAATAGATAAACCGTTTTGGCTTGAAAGCAGCATTTTTTTTAGCTAATTGTTTCAAAGAATATAAAGCACTCCATACAGCAGCACAACCACCGCCATCATCCATTGCGCCTTGTCCAACATCCCAACTGTCCAAATGTGCTGATAACAGTACTACTTCAGACGGAAATTTCTCACCTGATTATTAGAAGATGGATAGTATATGGAAACACCAATTTCCAACCATAAAAGGATTTCCAATAATAAAAAAGATAGTAGAAGGATTTTTCACTTTCAGTGTCTTTTTACAAACAGAAAAAAAAAAAAAAAAATGAAATTTTTGAATTTTGAAAGTGTTCAAAAATCTACTGGGATTATTGTAATTCTTAACGGTGTCGTAAATGAAGCGGAAAGAAAGCTGAAACTTAAAAACTTCGAAAGAAATCAGTAAACTGTATTATCGGACCGGTAATTTGGAAGATGAGATTTCTAGATGTTGTAGTATGATTCTCGCTATGAGACTTCATATTCATTCGGATTACAATCTTTTCGCCGTTCTGAAACATTCGATCGATCATGTCAGCTTGTTCTATTGTCAAAGAAGCAGCCGGTATTCTTGCACCCTCTGAAATGCTTCATAGCTTTGCAAAAAACGGCTGTCGTCAACTTAATTGTTACTATATTGTACTCGTAATTTGAATAAACAAAAAACTAACTTATTAAGGTGTAATTGAACGAAGGACTAGTCGACCAGTTAACTTTTGCTTAGAGTAACACATCTAAAAGTTAGCGCCAAAAATTCAATCAGTTATAGAGGGGCTTAAACAATATATAATTGAATGCTATGTACCTGCACCACTGCCAGTATGAGGTGAATTAATGGAAAATGATGTTACAGATTTTATTAAAACGCCAATGGCACCCAGTGATTCGAACAGTTTTACTGATTGTCGATATTTAACCGTTTGTGGATATCCTTTAAATTGTTGTGCTGTTACGACAATCTTTCCGCTGACGTTAATGAACTAAAAACGTAGTACACGTAAATAAACATAAAATTTCCTACAATGATTCATCGGACTATTTATGCTGCAACTTTTAGAATTCAAAAATTTTCAAATGCTTCACTTAAAAAAACTTAAATACTCCTAGATTTTCACTCCAACTATTTCTGGTTTATGAAACAACTTCCAAATACCTTGGAATCATCGAGGTCACGAATGACAACAACTTCTCCGGTTATATTAGCTGGTTCGCATCCTCCAAGAGCTAGCACATTAAGCCGCTGATGCCGTGGTTCTAAAAGTTTGCAGCAAAACACATTCACATAGAAAATTGGAAAAAAAAAGCAATTACCATAAAAGAAATAGTTGAAAGTAGACAGGTGATTCAATATTAAACATTAAAAGTATTTCATAAATAGAAACAGAACGTTACAACCACTAAACGATATAGAAAATAAAGAATCAACTTAAAAGTAGTTAATTTTTTCGTCACAAATTTCAAAAATAGATGGACAGCATGGACAGCTTTATTTTCATATGCATCTTTTAAAAATTGTGGATACAGCCGGTCGAGATAATATCAGATCAAATTTGGTTGCCTGTCCCGCATTTTTTTCACTCGACTATTTTATTGCTTTTACAGATTAGACATTATTTTATAAAAACTTTTCCAGTTTAATAAACATTTAAAATTATCCAAAATGATTTGTCACATGGACAGCTTTACTTTCATATGCACTGTTATTCTTAGAGTTTTTCTCAAGTCAGCTCATTTGGTATGCAGAAATTACTTTTTTTTAATACCAATTATTTCAACGTTGTCGTCTTCGCGAACCCAATTTGGCAAATTTGGTACTTCCTCTGTGTGCACATCATCAAAATCGTCTTCTTCCAAACTTTTTGCTAGGAAATCAATCGCTCTACAAAGCTATGAAATTGTTCATTCAGCATTATAGCCGATGATATTTTCCAGTCTGAATTTGATTTGCTATCAGTACCATTCAATTATCTTTTCATTTTTTTTTTTTTTAAATATTTTTAATATTCAAAAGAATTACATTTTCACCTTTCCATCAGTATTATTATGTAAATGACTCATACGATATGTTTGAAAACTAACATTACAAATAAATTCTTAAAGGAACAACAAAGAATTGTTCACTTTACTGTTAAAACTTTATTCATTATATTGAAAACCTACTCTTCCAAACTATCAGAGCCAACCATACGATGTCCAAAACCATCAACCAATGTGCTAAGCCACTGATAAGCTAATCCGGCTCCATCACCCTTAGTAATATAACGGATCAGTTCAGTAGTATCGTTCCCGAACTATAATAAATAATTGTACTGAAGAAGAATAAACTGAACAAATTATATCTGAGTAAATAATAACATTTAAATTTAATTAAAACTGAATCAAAGTATGAACGTCAAATATTAAGAAAAAAAAAAAAAAAATATTAAGAAATAAGAACTATACAACTTTCTCTTGCTACAAATTATTAAAAGATATCATTTTACAGCTTGATGAATTTTAAATCGTCCAAGTCAACTGGATTCATCTCACTAAATAAACTAGTTAAACAAATGCTTCATATTGTTTGTGAAATTTCTTTCATTAAAGATATGCATTTTAATTAATGATAAATACTTCCATATTTTTGTCAATGAGTTATTTGCGCTTCATTTTTTTAAAAATTAAAAATGAACACAATTTTTGGTAAATGGATACTATTTAACAGAATGAAACTCAAACTTTTTTTTAAAAAAAACAGGAAACTTGAAAAATGGAAAGGGAACATTCAAATGTAAATTCATCCAATGATCATCCAAAAATGTATAAATTATATAGATTAGAATAACAAACCTTTTCGAGGACATAATTTTGACTCGCAGCAATAAACGTTGTAATTATAAGGAGGAAAAAGAAAGAGAATATGGATGACATTCCTTGAACAAATATGCAACACAGAAATGTGATGATGATAATAATAATAAAATGAGAAATTAGATCAACTCTTTTGTTTTTGCCGAAGAGGAGGGAAGAGAACAGAGAAAGTGAAATTATTCATTAAATCACACTACTGGAGAGGAAAGTGAAAAATGAAATATTCTTCTTCTGTCCTTTGTTTGACTCACTTAAATTTCGCAATTGAATATTTGTTCAGCAGAAATTTCCTTCCCTTTCAAACATAGAAAGAGAAAAAAAAATTTTTTGACGAAAAAGTCAGCCCGAGTTAAATTTTCAAAATTTTTTTGTGCTTGCTATAAACACAGAAGAGTTCTTCTCAGCAGCAACAGCTTCAGTTTTTCTTTGCAATAAAGTTTATTTGTTTTCATCTCATACTCATATTTGTAATGATAGGTCTCGTGACTACAAATCTCATTTCAAATTTAAACATCTGGCGACACAAATCTCATAACTGTAGAAGGATTACTTTTTTGAATTTATTAAAGATAGATAAAGAGAAGCAGTAAATAAAGCAATAAAAAGAAAACAAAACTATGTATTAAAATATCAGGTACAAAAATTCCTTTATTTCCTTACGATTTATCACTACGGAATTTTAATATTGTAAAAAATTTGACAGAATGGCATTCATGTCCGAACATATTTTATTGCCATTTCAAAATTTCACATATACAGTACAGAAGAACGATACAACTACAAAAAGTATTCCAGAACAGTTTGAATGCGTGCAGTAAACTAGGTCACATATTCTTCTTTTAAAATACTGCAAAAGGAAAGCAGCGAATTCCCATAACAGTTCATCGCAATTCCTCTCGTTGTAAAAGTTTAAACAACTTAACTCTTCTATTTTCCCTACTAACTAATCAGATTTTTCTTTTTTCAGAAATTAATATTGTAAATATAGCTGTATCGATTAGGAATACAAATAGAATAAATAATCGACACATCACAAACCTTACATGTATATGGATTATAAAATGCATATCGAGTGTTTCGTAGAAATAGGAAAGTACGAACCTATTGTCATATGCTTCTATAAAAGGTAGCATGCAACTATGATAAGAAAAATCCACCTATCCGAAAGTTAGAATTCTCAAGAACTGAAGATATATTACATGACCCAAAACATAATCCGGGAGACAAGCAAATTAAACAAGCACAGATGATACCAAACATGAGTCAAGGCTTTTATATTTTACACAGTGACTGAATTAACAAAACAATTGAAAGAGTTGAACACCGTAAGCTCCATATAACTATCTGCAATGTTGTCATAAGCATTATGTTTTTAAATTGATTTTGTTACTTCCATTTGAATGACAAATTACTCTTGCATTTCAAGATTTTTTTCTTGGCAATTAAGCAGAAATAAATAAACATCTGTGATGAAAATGTCAAATAAAAAATGTATTACAAAAATTATGCACAGTGATGCAGCAAACATATGCAGCAAAAAAACAGCTGGTGTGTTTTCCATTAACAACAATGCAAACACAAAACACATGGATCGGGAAATAAATTGGAATTTTACAAAGAACTTTAAGCATCACATATCGCTTTGACATCTGCTGATACACCTACGAAAAAAAATGGTAGTCTAGTCATCACAAGATTATGCGACTGTATTATTTCATTTCCTATTACTCACTTTAGTAATAAACAAAGAACTTTTTCCAACTAATATTTGTATTTTGGAGAAGCTTTAAGTCACAATTAATTACAACAAGAAACAGTAATACCGAGCCGTGCCTTAGAATACCGCACAGGATAGGCAGCTGCTGATTTTATGGTAGTTTGAAAAAAAAAAAAAAGCGTTAACAAGCATAGTATCAATAGCTTGATTAATGCCAATAAACTAATAACAACAACCTAAATTACAATGTTAATGCATATAAATTTCAACGACATAAAGTGGCATCAATTTGAGTCACTTGAGGTAAGCATAACATTACTTTCCTCCGATAACTACCCCGATCTACTTTATAAATAGGGTTTCTTTCCAGGTAGATCGTCTTCAAAGCAGATAACTTGGAAAGCTTTATTAACTCGTTCCAATCTGATATTTCATTGTCGTTTAACTGAAACAAGAAGGAATATGCAAAACTTCATAGATCTGAAAGAGGATATAGAAATGCTAACTGATGAAAATTATTCTTATTCTCAACCTGCATCAGTTATTCCCTCCAGAACGATATATTTTATGTCAGCTATGCCAATTATCAAGAGAAACACTGTTAGAAAGAGAGGGAGGATAATGGTGAGGTTAGTTTTGTTTGCTAAAAGAGATAGTAATGATAACTGTCAATGAAGTAATAATGATAGTCATGATTCTTGTTCCAGTTGCCTCTACTTAGCGACATAAAAAAGCTTTTGATGCCTTTGAACATAAGCTATTTACTGCTTTAACAGTATTAAATGCTTCGATAATTAACATACCCATATATCCTCCAAGTGATCTAAATGAATAAGGCCATCCAATTTAGTAATCTTATTGTTGGCTGCATCAATTATTGCTAGCTTTTTCTGTAAAAACACTATTTTAACAGTTCAAAGAGATAAATAAATCCTTATTCAGAGGATGAATCCTTCAGTACAACATCCAGAATGGTTGGGCTATATATATTTGCTCAAAACAAAAAGTACTTTGGTAGCACTAATAATTAAATAAAATAAACCTGAAACGTCAATTCAGTCAAAGATTCAATTCCTTGGTCACTGATATGAAGCTCGGTGAGTTCACTAAGCATCGAAATACCACTTAATTCAGTTAAACGATTAGCCTATAACAAAAAACATGACACCAGGTTTTTAACATTAACAATATCACATGCCATTTATAAAAATACTGTGCCACAAGTTTCCAGAATCAACTAAAAGCAACTCCGCACTGCAGTTTTTTCTTTAGGAGCAAATGAGAAATCAACTGAATTTAAAAGCAATAAAAAAGATGAAAAATCTCACCGGAGCACTAAGTACAGTAAGTTTGACCAGACTTTCCAAGTTTTCAAACTTCTGAATTTTATTTTTACCAATGTACAGCTCACGAAGACATTGCAAATGTCCAATGTTTTCTAACTTCTAAAGAAAAATAATTGATCAATACCATATAATTATTAAAAGTGTTATTCAGGGACAAACGTAACGTAACCTTGATTCGATTATCACCAAGTTCAAGCACTTCAAGTTTCGCGAGTGATTCTAAACCATCAATTTTTTCAATTTTATTGTGCACCAAATAGATACGTCTCAAATTACACAGTGCAGATAAACCTTCGATTTTTCTGATACGATTATAGCTTAGATCAAGAATTACAAGATTAATCAGTGCATCGAGATTTGAAATAACCTGAAATGAAAACATAAATTCCTTTCTCTACTTTCTTCTTCCCTCTAATTCAGTTTCAAGGTAAACTTGTTATAGATGTATCAGTATAAGGCAATCAGGATAATCATAACATAAGTTAATTAGGTTAATCTAATCAGAATGTTACTAGTGCAGTAGTAGGTAAGAAAACAAATCATACACCTCAATCTGATTGTCGTATAAATCAAGTTGAGTAAGAGTAGTGATTGCAAGATGATCATTGAGTGATACTAATAAATTTTGTCGCATGCAAAGTTCCTTTAAAACAAAAGTGCTTCATTTTAATAACCAAAATGTATAAAATACAATACTGCTTCAAAACCTTCACTTCAAACGTATTTGTAATTAAATTTCATAGTTAAATATTAAAACTGCACCAAATGAACATAGCTAATGAAGAATAACGCTTTACCGATAAGTTGATAAACCATATTGACTATCAATAAAAAATTGCATAAAAAAAGCTAAATATACCTTTAACTGGGAGAATCTTGACAGATCTGGAATAGCATCTACGCGACACTGATTTAGATCTATAATCTGAAATACTCTAAAGAAAACAAAGTTCTTCGAACAAAAAAAGAATGACTTTTAATTTCACTCTCCAGCTAATTTACTTAATTTTATATTCACTTTTCTACTCATGACTTTTCTTACATTTAATGTCCATCTTTTGATGTAAAGAATCAATCAGCTGAAATGCAGATTATGAAAGAATCTGCATGTGATAGAATGCATAATTCATCCCTATTTTTGACGAAATCGTTACTTCTGAGTCTACATCAAATTCATTCAAGTCGAAGAGATTCCGATGTAATCTCTTGTCGTTCTCTCTCAGTGTCATATCTGTCTCATCATCCATCGGTTCATTGTTACAGTTAATATTACCGTCACCCGCTGCCATTTCTAAAATTTTATTCAGCACTACCTATTCGAGTATAACACAAAAACAATTCGTATTTTAAACGAGGATCACAAAGCAAATTATTACATACACGTTCATATTATCTGAGCTTTATATTAATAAAGACTAAATCAATATACATATATAGCAACAGCATAAAATTATGAAATGGTTTATAAATTACACAAATACGCATTTTCAAATAACCATAACTTTTAGCAAGTTGTGCAGTCTCACGAATCGCAAACTTTTGAATGAAACTTTTTATAACCGAACTTATTCCATCTTCTAAATTCAAAACTTTAGTATTACATGCCATCACCAACATTCTTTTTCTGCATACCCTTGAATTGCTCTTTGTGTAACATTGGATAACCACCAACACTATACACAAATAATGGTGTCATTAACAGGAAACCGAAAACAGCAATGGTTCCGGATGTTGGTTTACGGTAAAAGGCCAATCTTGAATATCTGTCCAATATTTTAAACCAAAAGTTCCTACTGGAATTTCGCATCTTGTTTTCTGATTTAGAAATCGACTATTCTTTATTAATGCGTCCACGTCTGCATAGAAATCGGTTCGTTTATCGTAATTATTTCATGAAATGACAAAACCGATGTAATTATGTATGAAGCTGAGGCTTCCTGTGAAGCTCCTGTGTAACAACAACACTTCACATCCAGAATCCTAATGGAACCCGGAATCATTTTACAGAAAACCGTGACAGTCTACACACTAATCTCCCAACATCTAAAGAACACACTTTCTCCCAATTCTCTTCTAATTCGTAACGATACGTCATTTCCACAAGTCTTACCTCTCTATTCCCCTCATAATTGCTGCACTATTTACTACTAAAGACTATTGAAAGGAAGGTGAGATGAACGCAAGAAGCCATAAGGTGATATGCGTGTGACACGTGATATTCATTTGACATTAGAGCTTTATGAAATAGAAACAAATCAGGTAGGAAATCAGACTTCACTTAATAGTGATAATTATAGGATAAGATGCATTTCAGGATTTCATTGCAATATCGCATTCCCATGTTAAACGTATGACTTCTAGAAGGCTAGCAATGCTTTTGCTAGTTGATTCCGAATCTTCCATGTAATCCAATTGTTACTGATGATATCCGGAATGATTCCTCAGAGACTAAAATTTCCTTTGCCCTCCCAAGAAACGAGATACATAGCTAACGGAAGGAAGATGACACAATCCATTGCAACTATAATAGTTCGGCACTGGCAAAAAACTTGTCATTCTTTGTTTTGTCGTGTTGTACGTCAACAATTGGCATTGACTGAGGCACCTGACATTTACATCACAGCGACATTTTATCTCATTTCGTTGAGCTTGCAGAAAGTTGCACTACTTTCCACATTTTCTTACATTTCAATTTCGCAAAAGAATATGGGATTTTAATTCCCACTAGAAATAAGATGCTAACTTTAGAAATTGAAAAAGCATAAATTCCAAATTCAATTTTTGAAAAAAAATCTCTTCTGTAAGAAAGTTGTAACTTACATCTTTCAATGTGTTCAGTTCTGAGACTATGCTTTTAATTCCTTTATTGATTTTTGAACTGCCTCTATTTTCAACTAAAAGCAGAGATTCAATGCATTCTTTACATATTCCTCTTATAGACACTATTGCATGCAGCTGCATCTACATGCAGTTCAGCAAGTACAACCATATTCTTCTTTATTTATACTTAAGCATATTCTTTGAAGACTTACTTTCTACTACTTTTACTCGTGGCAATTCATCGGCATCTTTTTTAGGAAAAGATGTGTGTATAACTGCTACTGGAGACATTTTTACTGGAATTGAAAATTCGTCCACTCTGAATTGACAACTTTACTAATAGATACTAAGTATTAGTTTTAATACGTACTATAAAAAAGCAGCCTACGTAATTTACAGACAATTACAGTTAGCAGGATCAGTTAGAAGGAAAGTTGTATCAAGAATTTTATCCATCATTGCTGATGAAGAGCGCTATGAAAGTTTTACATTAAGATCGTTATTTGAAACTTTTCTTAAAATTCTAGAATTATTTTATTTACTAATCCTTCTTTGAGGAAACATCAAAAACTCGAAATCGTTCTACTTATTCACTTATGAAGATATACAAATATTTCATTCAAAAAGCACTTTAGTTTTTGTGCCTTCGAATTTTCGGGTTGCGCTATGATTTCGACACTTTCACTCTGGAAGACATGAACTTAACAATATTCAAAAATGGACAAATTCATACATCCTTTTATTCATTTGCTATTCTGCTTCTGTTTTCTCCGATTATCACTATTCCACTTACCACTCTATCTTTTTAATATATTGTATTAAAGGAAGTAGAATAAAATGTTAACTGTTGGAAAAAAATATGGGAATGAATTTTAGTTGTTTCAAAGTAATTAATTAGTATTAAGGAGATGAGTTGGATGTTAAAAAAAGAACGCTGGCATTGATAAGTTTATTATCATAATCATTACTTCCTTCTTTTAACTCTATTCAATGCAAATCACTCCTAATCTTTCCATCTTTTGTTGGTATATTTTAGAATTACTCGAAATGCACCAAAAATTATTTTGCAAAGAAGAAGTCAAGCAAGTAAACCTATTTATATTTTTATTCTTTCATATGCATACCTTCTTCCTCCATGTACTCCTCCAACACATCGTTCTAATAACTTAAAGGTAACAATAAAGATTCTATCTCTTCAATTCTTCTTAAAAACATTGTTATAGTCTTGTGGGACATGAGTAAGTCAAGTCAAAAGTTATATGCAAATTCCGGATCACCAGAAAATTAAGCTCCAACTTTACTTCACACACCTTCTTTCACGAGCCTAACGCTGATCTATATTCAACGGCTGGCCGATTATTTCGACGCACTTTTACACGTGTGTTACTTTCGTATATGCGTAAGAAGATTCATGCATTTGAGACATTTGTACCTAGGATGGGTAATATTATTAAAGTTGTTACGTCAAATTTGTCTTTTTGGTCTTAATGAGGTATGAGATTAAACTGGTAAGAGTTTCTCATTCTGTGGTCAGTATGGTATGTGAAGGTTAAATTATTAGATTCAAGTACGTAAATTATTTTTTAAAGCTTTTCAAGCCCAGTCTCTTCCTTTCAAATCGCTAAGGAAATGATCACAGTGAACATTCAGTAGATTAGACGGACACGCCTTTCTTAAAATTTACCTCATTGCAAATTTGCATACAGATAATAAGCAATGGTTGTGGAGAGTGGAGCAAAGCAATGTTTCATTGAGCTTGCTAAAGCAAATACCAGTGCTGATTACGATAAAGCATTGAAAATCGCCAATAAAGGTAAACTGCTGAAACATATTTTGGCAAATATGCTTGTTTAAAAAGCAGTCGATATTCATTTTAGCTCATTCAATTACTGACGATTAATTATCTATTTAATCATCTTTCCATCTTTCATACAAGTGGAATTATTTTCTTCTCTTCTGTTTTCAGTGCTACGCACATATCCAAAGGAAACACTGGCATTTAAATGCAAACTAGTAGCACTCATACAGCTTAGCCGATTAGATGAGGCGCTCATTCTGATCAAGAAGACTCCACCTCACCATATGGGGTAGCTGTTTTCATATTTTATTATAATGTATAATTTTTTTAACTAATTCCATTTAATAAAAATTTGTCGTTTGAGGGCCTAATTTAATCAGCTCATGACATCAAATTTCTTAATTTCTAGAGATAGTTTGTTTGAAAAAGCGTACGTTTTATATCGAAAACAGGAGGATGGCGCCGCACTAGAAACACTCAGTAAAGCTTCAGAATGTGATTACCGTTGCATGGAACTGAAAGCGCAGTTACTTTATCGTGCCGAACGTTTTGATGAAGCTTTGGAAATATTTATGTATGTTTTCATGTTTTCAGTAAGATTTTAAACTTTATGATAAGATTCCAAATTTGTTTTTTTTTTTCAGATTTTCGAATGAAATTAATGTATTAAGGAAATGAAAATCATTAATTTATTTTCAGAACCTTATTAAAAGATTATTCGGATGATTACGATGAAGAACGTTGCGCCAACTTGATTGCAACGATTGCACAGTTGCAAGGAAGTGGTCACCAGCAGGTTTTTTTGTATTTTGGTGATATGGCGATTAGTTAGGAATGAACTAAAATTGTCGCTGTCGGTTATGAAGAATAGTGGATTAAGGCTTTAGGGAAGATACTAAAAAGTTGCGCAATACTAATTTTGACGAGTGGGATGCTCACTACTGTCTCACTCAACACAGAAAAAAGAGCGAAATTCGCACGACTCGGGAAAATTGAAGAAAAAAGATAAAAGGCGAGAGGTAGTTTCTGACAGTTTTTTCAGCAACTACCATCACGTTTGGATACATTTGAGCAACTATATAATGGTGCTTGCCAGTTGATTGAGTCAGGTGGATATTCTCAAGCGCTGAAATTTCTTGAAAAAGCTGAAAGTTTGTTTTTTGTCCATCTCATAACCTACATATTGTAGATGTTGCATACCTTCTATTATTGTAATGTTTTCTTCAGAGTTATGCAATGATACGTTAGTAGAGGAAGGTTTGTCAGAAGAAGAAATCGAGGAGGAATTGTCCGTGATTCGAGTCCAAAAAGCTTTTGTTCTCCAGATGCTGGGCAAAAGAGATGATGCATTAAAAATTTATTTGCGAGTTCAAAATCTTAAGTTAGTAAATTTGAATATCACGGGTTTAAAAAACTGTTCAGCTTTAGAATTGAATTCCTTTATTTTAGTCCATCAGACAAAAGCGTTATCGCAGTGGTTACAAACAATATACCATCGTGTCGTGTGCAACAAAATTTATTAGAGGCACGAAAGAAGTTAAAAATTGCACTGCAGGTGGAGAGTTCTAAGCTAACAGCTCGACAACGACGTATTCTTTTGTTAAATCAGGTCTTCACTCATTAAGCAGCTTTTAAAAATTTTTTAAAAATATCTTTTGCCAATCAATAGTGCAATCGGTGGTGGCACTTATATTGATAAAAATGATTGTAAATAAAGTGTTAAGCTTTATTTCAAAAAAAAAAATCTTTTTAAAGTTTGATGGAAATTTAAAACAATTGAATGGCTGGTAAACTGTTCAGAATAGGTTTTAAAAGTAAAACTCATAGATCAAGTTACTTTTAATACGTATTTCAGTTATTTTCTTCTTTTCATCTTCACTAAAATTGCTATGTCACTTTTTAAAATTGTTTAGGCTTTGGTACATCTTTATTCAAATCAGCGTGAACCATGTCGTCGAACTCTCGAGGAATATATCAAGAAATATGGTTCTTCTACCGAAGTGACGTTAATAGAAGCGGCACTTCATGTTCGTTCGAAAGAGCTCCAAAAAGCACTTGTAATTCTCAAGGGTGATCCCTCAAAAGAAGCAAAATTGACAGCAGTGCAAGTTTTACTTGATGAAGGTTTGCGTTCAGCTTAATGTAATTCAGTTCTGTTTTCCTAGTAATTCGGAAAGTTGGAAATTTTGCTTCTCTTTTTTTGAAATCATTTATTGCCTGTTAAGAAGAATTGAAAATCAGTGAAGTTAACTGCGTTATATTTAAAATTGATATTGCTATTAGTGGTTTAAATTAAACGTTTCGCAGTGGGATTAGAATTTTTTCAAAAAGTCCATGCATAACTTTATCCTATTTTCTTTGTAAAGCAAATAGTATTAGTTGATCAGGCATTTCGTACACTGGCAGTGATTACCATGTAATCATTCATTAATTTCCAGTATTCAGTCTTAACTTTTTTTAAATTTGCAGGAAAATTGGAAGATGCTAGCAGTGCATTGGACGAAGTAGCTCCAGATTTGTTATCTTACCCGGCAATTTTGCAACTCAGGGTCGCTCTTCTTCTGGCTACAGAGCAGCAAAATGTATGTTCCACCATAGTTTATTTATTATGTGTTGTCAATATCATGCACGAAAATAGCTTTTCATCAACATCAAAGATGCTTTTGATTGTGACATATTTTATCTTGTTTTGAAAATTTAATTACAGGTGGCATTGAGTCTTCTAAAGTCTGCCTTGGATTCAGCGAAAAGTGAGAAAGCTCGCATCGCAATGCTAGAGGAAATTGCTTCACTTAATGTTCAGTTAGGAGATTATCCTTCCGCTGCAGATTGTTTCGAAAAACTTTCTGAACTTCGTCCCAATGATATGCAGATAATGTGCTGTTTAATCAAAGCATATTCAGCGTTTAATGTAGCACGAGCTGAGGAGTTATTAGCAAAAGTATTTCCACAAGGGAGCAGTACTGATATTGATGTCGACGTATTGGAAGATTCCGACTTTATTTTATATGGTGAACGTTATCGTCAGAAGAAAGAAACAAAAACAGAGGCTACTGATAGTGTTAGTTCCAATTTTTTGGTTAGATAAGCATAGATGAATACTGAAATCAGTAGTCCGGAATATGTAGCTTAAAATATGCTTTAAAAAAATATATAAAAAAGAAAATAAGAAAAACATTTTTTTTTTTTATTAACATTATCAACATACGTTCGAACTTAACAGTCACTGGCTTGGTTACACAGTCATTATTTTTATTGTACTTTTTATTTTTATTTTTTTCAGGAAATAATTGCTAGTAAGAGGAGAGCACACAAACGTAAGCGAAAGATCATCTTACCGAAAAACTTCGACCCGAAAGTACCTCCTGATCCCGAGCGGTGGTTACCAAAACAGGAACGTACAGCATTTAGGAAAAAACTTAACAAAAAGCATCGTGATCGCGATATCGGTAAAGGCACACAAGGAGCAGTTAGCTCTTCTCCCAAAATGTGCGTGTTTCTAAACCGTTATAAATTCCTATTCATAGCTGTTATTCATAAAATGCATCACAAACTCTTTATACTACAATAATAAATTTTAGATTGTTTAATTAGGATTAAAAGTCGTATTTTTAGAGAACTAACGATAACGACGAAAGCAAATAATTCACCGCATCCGGTAGGTCCAGTGATGGGTGTGGAAGGCCCACGTCAACAAAGACCAGCTGGTCAGCAACAAAAAAAGAAGAAAAAAAAGACGGGTAACAAATGGTAAATAAAAGAGATATGTTTTGTACATATCTGGAAAGACTTCATTGTTTTAATCCTAAATTTAAAAAGCACGTCATTCAAGAGATGCTGAAATCCTGCTGAACCTGAGCCGCAAGCCCCCTATATATCATTTCCTATATCACTGCTTTTTTTAGAAATTAAATTTAATTTTCGAAATTCCCTTGATTACTTTTTTTTTTTTGCCTATTTCACATCTATGGCATGTGTTAGAAGTAAGAATTATAAATAGTTGAATAATGAAAGGAGGAGATATAGGCTTATTTCCACATAATGCTCACATGCTATACAGTCAACCTTACAAATATTTAAAATTACCTAACATATGAGAATTTTTTGTAATAGAGAAAAGGTATTCGTTTGCTAAGATCCCTTATAATAAATAATATCACATCACATATCTTGAAACGAGTAAGTATAGTGTTGAACAGTCATTTCATCTGTACTTAATGGATTCCTGAATTCCACAAAAGGCTGTGGCGTATGAGAAATCCTAGAATTGTTAACTATATCAAGAATCCTAAGACACCATATGATTGTTGCAAAATGAGCACCTAATGCAAACACTTCCGCTGTATTGTGTATTCTCCATGACCAACTGATCGCCTCACCTACAACAAATCACACGTTGTTAGATGTCTTAAAATCATTTTCAGTTTGAATTTTTTGCTAAAAGTTAGAATCTGATACCAATGTTTCGATAGTCCAACTGTGTCAGAATGTCCGCGAAACGAATTGTGTTAATCATCAGTAGGCATGTACAATGCAGCAAGTTCGCATATAAATCTTGACTAACGATAATCTGAAATAAGTCTTTAATTGAAATAACTGAGTTCATAGTGTATAATTGCATTTCAGTGAATGTGAGGTAGCTTCTCCTCGCAACAGTTTTGATAGTATTTCAAATAATTGAATTTATTATAATTTAGTTCGCTCTGGTGTAATTGATTATGTTGACATACCTGATAAAGAGGAAAAATGAGAAGAGTTACGGTAAGGGACATGTGATAAAGTGAGGTAAGCAAAACAATTAACGGATGTCTCGATGAATTCCATATAAATTCATACATAGTAGCGATAAACACCACGACACCGGCAATTAGCAGAGCAAAGCCAATTTTCTGTAATTTTTATTTCAAATGAATTCACTAAGGATTTTAAAAATTGTTTGAGCCAAGTGAAACAATTCTTTAACAAGCGCTACGCAAATGCTAGTTATGGTCATGCCTAGCCGGTAATTACATAATTGTCGGGAGTCACATTTCATACTGGATGAGTTTTTAGATTGCATTAAAAAAACTAACTGTTAGATTCAGTGGTCACCAATATTCATCAAATAGATTATTATAATGTAGGAAATTCTGAGCTAACCTCAATTAATTTCTCCAATTTTATAGCCACCGTACTTTTCCCACCAATGTTGTAGGAGCCACGGCGCGGATTTATTTGTACCACTCGCCAGATAATGAAAGCCAGAGCACAGGATGCAACAAGAACACAAAAATATAAAATTGCTTCCACGAAATGAGATATGGCGCCAGATATAGTCAAATAATTGGTGCACCAGGCGGAACCACGGTAAAATATTTCACACACTTCATCGGCATAATATCCATTCCATGAGAGGTAGAGATATGAGATAAGTAGGAATGTTGTGGACTGGATGCAAAATAGCAATGTCGTTAGTCTAAAACAAATCTTGAAAAATCCATGAAAAAATTCCATTGCAGTAAAATTACTCTTTTTTATTAATCTTTTTCATTAACTGAAAAAATATGATACAGTGTGAAAAAAAAAAAAAAAATGTAAAACGCCTCTAAACAAGTCGAAATAATATCGAATGCAAAGCAATATGATCTTGTTGTTTCAGCAAATTGCACCACTCTTCATGAATTGATAGTTAGAATTACTTTATGAAAGTTTAAATGATACGATGTGGAACATACAATGCAGGGATCACGAAGAAATTGACCTCTCTAGCAGAAGCAAAAAATAGGAATGCGGTGACTAAGGTCGTCAAGAATGGCGCCTTTTGCTCATTGCCATGGAAAATTTTATAAAACGCCTCTAAACGAGTCGATATAATATCGAATGCAAAAAGTGTTATAGAAATTGTACCTGCTATTATACCTGAAAGAATTTATTAACTGAATTTTAAGTCAAAAAAAGACAGGTCCATATTGCCCAACTCGATTTCTTGGATTCTTGGTCAGAAATCTGCTCAAGTTACGATTACTAAGATAAAGTACGAAGTGCTTTTGCTAATTCTATCCACAAAACAAATAAATGTAAATTCAAGAGAGAAGAGTCATGATATTTTTTGACCAACAAGAGGTCCTGCTGTCGAGTCATCAGAATCTGATCATACACTGCTTTATCAGAAGTACTTAGTCTATACAACAGATATTCCTATGACTGTGATCGAACCATTTCGGTAAACATACCCACAGCTTTAATCGATAATGTAATAAAACTGCACCTGATATGAAGAGAAATGTCCTAAATTGGGACGAGAAATTCATGTGAAGTGGTTGCCCACATGAATTAATAAGGATCAAAGTTAGAATAATTAACAACACAACATGTGCAATGCCAGTACTTAAACTGAGCACTGATAACCAGTCTGGTATCCACTTCGCAAATGCTGCCCCAGAAATCTGAAATAATTTCGATGGAGATGAAGTTTTAGTTCAAAATTTTGAAAATTTTAAAAATCTCGGAATGGAAATTCAGCAACAACTTACTACAGCGTTAGAAAACCATCGGTAATCAATCCATAAATAAGTAACTGTTGGATAAATGCTTATTGAAGAGAGGCAGAAGGTTATTATTCGTGTTGGAGAATTTGTTGGAACTCGTAGAATACAAAAAATACCTTAACGAAAATCATCAAAAAAAATCAAAAATAAATTTTAAGTTTGTCAATAAACATTTCAATTTTAACATTTTGGCTATTTATAACTTGATGAATAAACAGATCATTGGAGAAGATACCAAGAGCGACATTAAGCATAATCCAGAGAGGTTCATCAGTAGTATAATGTATGAAAGTATAACGAATAACATTGCCGATAGAGCGTAAAAAGTATAATTCGGCAATCCAGGAGAAAAATTTAAGCATGGAAGTGACGATAAGAGCGCAACCGATGATAGATAATGGTATGGAATGTCTTTCCATCTGCACATCCAGGAAACATCGATGACAGGATGAGAGTATCAGCAGAATTAATGCTACCGATACTGCGCTGAGAACCATATCCACTGTACTATAGCTAAGCAGTCCATACACCTGAAATATATGATGGAAAATAAATGACACCTATACCTTGAAGAGGTGAAATAACTTAATATGCCAACATAATCAGGCCATGGTAATGAAGTAACAGAAAACAATTGTACCTGTATCCTTGTGACGAAAACATTCTTTGTCAGCGAACTGAAATCCTTGCAAATAGCGATCACATTGAAAAAATCAGCAATGACTGCAGCAGAACAAATGGCTAAGGCGAATATGTCCACAATGATAACAAAAATGGATGAAGTGGACAGGACAGTGAAGGATGGACAGAGAGATGACGCGATGCCAGCAAATAGTGATATGATAGTAATCCAGTGAGTATTAGTGAAGTGCTCCGTATGATACGACTTCTCCGCTTGAATACAACCAGCCAAAAAAGCATTCAGAGCACTTACCACACCAACAATAGTAAGTATCCGAGATGTTCGATGTATTTTGTCCATACTTTCTCACATTTGAAAATTTAGCTACTTTTATTAAATTGTAGTTCGTTACTCACAGAGGTAAATGATGAGTAGTGGATGATGTAGAATTCAAATGATTTAACAATTACGCTGAAGGAAATTAATGGATTTTGGAGCTAGTTTGAATCAATCGCAATGAACTTGATTTAATTATATCTGAAATTGAGATGAAATTCGATAGTTAAATTGAACTAAATTTACAACTCGACTTAATCTGATTGAAAAATTTCTTTATTGAATTTAAATTAAAGCATAAGCATCCTATTAATAAACACTAAAAAAATTAGTTAAGTAAACGACAAAAATTTATTACAGCAGACATGAAAGCATGATTTGATATCAGTAAATTACGAGAGATCACCTTCCCTTCACAGCTGCGAATTACCAGTTTGGGTAAATGTGCCCGGCGTGTTATGTCTCTCTACCAACAATTTCTCTTAGATCCTTTCATTCCTCCTTTTATTTACCACAGTTAATATATTGGTTTTATAGGAATATTCACAACAGGTTGTAAAGAATCAGACATTTCAATCTACACTCTTCCTTCTCTGCTCTATCAAACTATTCGCAGTGACTAACAATTAACAACTTTCCGCTTGAACTGGGAAAATTGCAAGCTAAATCTTCCTCTGATCTGAACTGAATGTTTTATACGACAATAGTAAACTTCAAGTAGTTAACTTCTCCGATCCGCATATTTCTTATAAAAGCCATGTTATCTTAAACACCGAAAAATTAATCGAAAACGACTGCTGACCTATAAAATCGGCTATTTACTTATATTTTATTAATTCCGTTGCTTTTATTTCACAATACGTGCGTGCAGTCCGTTAACTTTTCTCATGCATGTCAATTACCTAGATTATGAGTTGCCCAAACTTGACAGTTTTATATTGCTGGAACATACACCCTCAAGATTTAATAAATACGTTTAACATATAAAGGACTGGAAAGCATCAGTCATACTTATATTACTAAATACCTTTGTTATAATGAACTGCGCGAATCCATTCTGAAATTACTTCTTGAAAAAAATATTCGAATATTAATTGTTTGAGTACATCACACAGTTGAGATAAAGATTTCATTTTTGAATCGGCAAGCACAAATATTTGAGAATAAATACAATTTTTCACGCGGCTATGAATATTTAGTAAGAACTTGTCTCACTTGCCTCGTCACGTATTCAGCTATTAGTTATGTTTTCATAAATAGAAGCAAAAAAATCTGCGAATAAAAATCACAGAAATCTAGATGTCACAATATTTCAATATCTTCTATATTGAATATATATTGAATATAAAATAATCTGAAAGACTTCACCAACATCTCAACAAAGCAAGGCAATAAACAAAATAAATAAAACTTGATAAAAGTATGACACAAATTAGATTGCATTTTGATGGAAATATTAAACTCTAACAATGGATCAGACTCAAACTTACAGTGGTCAAACAAAAAGATCAGTAGGAAGAAGTAATAAACATATATCTTGATAGGACGTATATTGCTGCAGTAGCAGTACCAGCAACTAACCACTTTCGAAGGGATGTCTTTGGAAACGACGGTTTTCTTATCCGACTAATATTTATAAGATGTTGATAGTCTTCCATTAGCGGACCACGTAACCGTGATGGAGGAAACATCCTTAAATTGAGAGTAATTTTCAAAAAAAAAAAAATTTTTTTAAATTACAAAGGGAAACAATTTATTACCAAAATGGATACAGACAAGTGAGTAAATAAATAGATGTGCATAAATGAATCGAAGAAAAATAAGTGAATACAATATATAAATAAATATATATGAGACGGAGAAATAACCGAAACAGATCTTGCGCATCGTTGATTAGTGCTTGAACAGGGATATCATTTGGTATTACATTCAGTAGATGATGAATAGAAGCCATGTCCCGAGAACAATTAAGGACTGCATTACTTCGCCACAAAACGACAGCAGAAGTTAAAAAAATGGGAGTAAGCGCATGAGTAGCCAGGAAAAAGTCGAAACAAAGCACTATCTGGAAGGAAAAGGAAACAACCCTTGAAGTAACTGATTGTCGTTTTTTGTTACCTACAGTTCGTTGTTTTAGAGTTTCCTTCAACAAAAATGATCATATTCAGAAAGTAAAAAACAAATGTCTCAAAAAAATGAACCAGAAAAAAAAGCAGATACATGTCAAATATAGTATTGAATTCTTCGAAAACGTTAAACGAAAAATAACAAACTTGGTGGTAGTGATGAAGAGCATGTGAAAACCACGTCAATGGCCAGCTTAAAGCAAATAATGATCCTAATTCTACAGCACGTACTACCTTTTCCAACTCTTCATCAACTTTCCAAAGCAAAACATGCATCAAATCAAGATCTCTGAGTACGGTATCTTCTAGCTTTCTGAGAAGGTAACTGAAAAACATTAATTTTAAAACAAGCATCAATTGAAGCTGACGAAATATTTTCTAAGACATTTCATCCATAAGTACTTAGTGGTGAATTTTTTCTCAGTGACATGAAATAATACTTGGAATAAAGTAGAATATCTATCAAATAGAAAGCAAACCCCTTAAAAATTCCATTGTTTGCCAAAAGTATACCAACATGCTCTGCTTTCTCATTACCGAGCACCAATAATAAGGTCAAACAAACATCATGAAAACCTTAAAACGTAATATATTATACAGCAAACTCTAACACCAGTGTTCAAAACACAAAAATATTTAGGATTAAATATTAAATTAAAACACTAATTTCTATTTTCTGGTAGGTGAAACTTTTGTACTACAGTTTTTCCATACATTTGTTGGATCTGTTGTTGTAGAATTTTCTTTAGTTTAAAAACTTACAAATTTAATAGAAAAATCCTAATATTTATTGAAAATTTTTTTAAAGAAACAACTTTTCGTAAAACGACTTATTAAAGAGAGCATTTTGCAAATGATTTCCATAACCCTGATAATAATGAAATCGAGGACAGCTCCAGAGAATTTTTACAATCAAAGGAGTTAGATCTTCTTGCAAAGTACATCGTTCTTTATCTGATATATCAGGTGGAAATCGCGCCAGTGTGCGCTGAACATCCATTTGCACCTGGTTCCATTCACGATGACTTTGTAAATCTTTCAACGTTGGACTTGACAACTAAAATACTGGAGCGCCGGTGTTAATGTATTGAATAAAACTGCTCTTATCGAAAATATTTATTTCCATTTTTGAACTGAAAACTGTCTATCTTTTAATATCAAGTGTAACTTTAATTTCACTATTAAGAGCACATAAGTGTGTCAAAACAAAAATGTTTCGTGGCCAACACTTTTTTGGTTAACCAAACTTAAAAATCCGAGCTTTTAATGATATCCCAAATAGTACCAAGGAAAGGAAAAGGACGAGAGTCTTGAAATATCGCAGCATACTGAAACGAAATTCATGGTTAGTTCCTCTAAAACTTAATATTTTCATCAAACATTGCCAAAATTTGTTAATAAGTTTTGAAATCAGAAGTAATTTTCAACCAAATGACTGTACAAATAAACATTGAAAATTAACTGACATCGATAATTTTATATCTAAAAACTTGTTCTTAAAAACAAGAATATTTCCTTGATTTTTAAAATTTTTCTCTAGGACACGTCTAAATCAAAGGCAAATAACTATTAGAAATATGTAAGAACTTACAATGGTAGCAGAGTCAATCGTGGAGTCATGTTCTTCATAAGTGAAGTCGGAATGAGCGGATTCAAAATCAGAATCCGAAAATGTTGATGCTGTCTCCTGATCAGTGAACGAATCCTGTACAAGTGAAGATGCCAGAACAGGCCAAACAAGAGCACGAATTTCATCCAGAACTAAGCCTACGACAAAGCATACTGATTCTGATAATAGTAATCTGCTTATATGCTTCCATTAACTAAGTGTTTTATCAGCTTTGTAAATATTAAAGAAGGATAGAAATTAGAAAAAGAAAAAATTGGATGAGTGAAAAAAGTTCGAAGTGAATATGATGAACAGTTCCGGTATAAACTTTTGCTAGCATTGCACTATTTAACATCGTAATACAAAACAAATTTATGAAAAACCAGTGACGAAACAGATTTGCATTTTGACTGTATTAAGACCTTAAAATACCAATTAAAGCATACCACCGGTAGATGCGGCAAACTGTCGCAGCTGGCTAATATGTAAATGCAACGAGTCGTGATTTTCATCGATAAATGTCCGCATGCGATTGCATTTAATTTGTAACGTCCGACTAACAGCATTTCTTAATACATTTTCATTCACTTTACTTCTCTGAAACTTCACTTCCATCGATAAACATGCACATATGAAATAACAACAGGTCATTAAATAAAACTAATAAGTAAAAACATGGCATAACAAGAAGTCATGTTAAAAATATAAATAAATCGGTAATACTACTCTAACTATTCTAATGGATACCTAATTCCTTTTCATTCTGAACACTCACATAAAGCTCAAAGTGATTTATAACTGCAACAAAAATACGTTAAAAATACTTGAAGTATATCAGAAAGCATTCATACTTTCTTTGCAACTACAAAAGATGCAGAATAATCGGGAAGTGAAGGCATATCCTTGAGAATATTGAAGTATTACTGCAGCAAATAATCCCAAATAAGATCCATTTTCGAATCATGCAATAATATATACATATAGTAGTTAATCAGTCATTTGACAAAAAATGGAAAAAACTTAGTTTTGCTGAATTAGTGATGTCGAATTAGCAATAAATGGGACTAAACTGTAACTCTGAAATAAGTATACTGCAAACACTAGCACAAGAGTAAAATACAATAACACGAGCACCACCATCTTATCTCACACCTGTCTGATGCTATGGTCCACTTCAAATAAGACACATTTATCGACATGCTCTTCTGGTAGTCGTTGTTCTGACGATCTCTTGCTTAATTGAGTCATTTGTATGGGATTCAAATTAATGAAACATTTTTTCATTATTTTGCGTGAGTTTATACGTAATTAATTAATACGAATTTAGGACAGCCTTTCGTTTCAACTTTTATATTTATACACTTTTATATTAAGATTAATGAGTATATTTTAGAGAAATTAAAATTTTCTTAAGAAATAATGAAGTGGGACAGAAATGATAATAACAGTCCAAAACTGTCCAAACAAATATTTTATTACATTTCGGCCGGTAAAATTATTAAAATTGATTTTTTTTTTTCATATTAGTGATGGCAATATCCTTCCTGTATTTCTTTTCTGTTTGAAATAAGTTATTAGTATTTAATGTTGTAATAACAGGAGATAATAATTACTTATAGTGGACGAGTTGGACGAGTTTTCTGAGATTGTAAAGTGAGTTCCGATTCTGTTCTTCAGTCAATTGATAGCTGAAATCATAGCGTAGCACTTGATGTATATGATAATTTCCGTGAGTGATGTAAATTACTGTCTTTTGTACATGTATATAAATAAAAACTTTGAAAAAAGCATTCCAGATTAGATACGAAGTTTTGAATGGAAAATGAATAAACAAAATAAATACATTTCTTGACGGAAGCTTCAAAATCTAAGTCAATTATACAATACAAATGTGCTCATGATCTTTTTATTTCCCACTTAATTTAAGACTTCTCCCAAAAGTTTACCAAATAGCAACTTCTTTCATGCTGTGTGCTGATATATATCGATATTGAATGAGATTAGAATCCTATGCTTAGAAACTGTTTGAGTTTGAACAGCACGTTACTGTAATTTACTACCATTTTGTCATGATTTTCTGATATGACCTAACGATAAAATTGTTCGATTTGTAAAAAATTATAAGATTTGAGAGGGATTCAAAATGTTATTAATTCAGAAATAGATTTAAAACGTTAAATGAATTTGGTTTCTAAGTAATGTCATTCCAAGTCCTGTGTGTATGTAAAACTTGGCCTGGAATTGCTGTTTCATTTAATGAATGCACAAAAAATTTCAAACAACGAATTTACATAACACAATATTTCATTTCACCATTTCACGTTAATTGACGGATGTTCATACAGCTCGCGTAACTTTTCATCAGTCTTTAACAGTCACTTTGCTGTTGATTGTTAGTGCAAGATGATAAAATCTCAGAAGATTATTGTTTTATTTGCAGAGTTTTAATACCTTTAAAACTTCCTGATCAAATAATCTATTGAATGGCAACCAAATTGATTTTCCGTCAGGTGAATGATCTTTCGAGCAAATTCGATTTAGTGAAAAACACTTTCTGGAAAAAGTGTTTGACATTCTGAACTGTGTAGATTTCTAACTTGATTTAAACTTTAATATTTTTGGCTAAATTTCATGAGAGTTTATGAACATTTCCCCAGCTTAACTTATTTCCTTTTTTAGCTATTCGAACCCGTTTCATGCACTTATACGTATTTGCTAGGATGCTCTGTGAGTAGAAAATCGATAATAATAGATCCCGTGCTGGAAACTGTCGAACGGGATGCAAAGGTATCGAATATTACTTCAGTTTAGTCTGCAGTCCTGAAATTCTCCAACATCAATGAATCGAGAGATTTTGTTCTTTTTTCAAATTACTTCGCAGTTAAATAACTTTAAACCATACAAAATCGCTCACTATAGAGATATCAAATATAAATGATAGTATTTTAGCTTATCAAAGAGCTCAACTTGGATCCAATATATGGTGTTAACACACATCTTCATGCAGATCACATTACTGGTACTGGCAAATTGAAGCGTATTTTCCCACGTATGCTTTCTGTGTTATCAAAATATGTCGACGGTCATGCAGATGTACTGGTCAGTGATCGAGAGATACTAAAATTTGGCAATCAAAATCTGGAAGTTCGCACGACACCAGGGCATACTGATGGTAAATACTATGTAGCACTTTTGAGTCGTATATTGTTGTAATTTATAAGTTATTATTCTCTTATGGCTCAGGCGAAATTAATGGCGCGGTTTTTTTAATTAAACGATATTAAAGTCTTCAGAAAATGGTATCTTTTAGTAATTTATCTTGTCATTATTCGATAAGGCAAGTTAATAAGGTTCTGCTCACTTAGCTTTTTCATCTTTCTTTCTGTAATAATTAAAATCTGTACCCATTTTTTCGTATGAAATGTTTTCTTTAATAGAATCAAAGGTTGATAGTTTCAGTTCATGAAAAAAATCTACTAACAGAGGAGGTGATATATTAGGCTCATCATTAGCTGAGAAAATAGAAAATTGGAAAATTTTCAAAGTGATGGAAGAGAAAATATATATTGCAGCTTCGAATTTACTGGAAGAAAGGTAGCTGGAGATGGAATCAAGTAAATTTTTTTTTCCCTTACCGTTTGATGACAAGATAAATTGAGTGTATGACTTAAAGGAGATTTTAATATTTTGCTTGAAGTTTTTATTATAATATTTTATACTGTGATATTTTTTAACAGAAAAGCCATCAGTGAGGCTGAATTTTAGTCCATTTAATCATTTCGCAACTTTCTTTGTGAAAAAAATTCTTACAATCAATCCTCCATATGGTTTTTTCTGCTCATACTATTTCTGCATACATAGCAGATACAGATGATAGAAGGTGAGTAGTGCTTTCAAGGATGTGTAACGTATGTTTTATATGATCACCGAATGGCTTTTACGGGCGATGCACTTCTTGTACGTGGATGTGGACGCACAGATTTCCAACAAGGTATACTTGCTTTTTTATATTTTTTGGTTAAATTTGTGCATATGTACACTTCTTGAAGCGTATTGTGTTGAAACTATAAGGTCTAAAAGTTTGAAGTTAAAGAAAACATTTCTTAGACTGTTTAGAAACATCCAATAATGGCAAGGAAATAGTTAATAGCCGATATGATTCAAAACTTTCACTTAAAACGAGATATGTTTCTCTAGAATATTTAAGCTGGCTCTATTGTAATTCATGAGATTTTCTTCTAAATAATAAACAATTTCTCTTAGTATGTTCTAGCTATTTATAATAAACCATTTACTCAAGTAGAATAAAAGATGGAATTTAGTGAAGAGCATCAAAAGTATCTGTTGAAAGACATAATTTATTAAAAGTAGTGGGCAGAAAATATAAATGTTGTGTTTGTTGAATTAAAATTCAGTAAATATAAGTATCAAATAAACTCAATTAGAAAGAGAAAAAAAAAACAGGCTCAAATTTTAAGTTGTATTTGTGGCGTGAAAAAATTGTTGGAAAGAATAAAAAAGATCTAATTCAATATATCCAGTCTGATGATTCATTGTCTCTATATCTGGATCTAACTTATCTGTAGGTTGCTCTTTACAACTACAGGCTTTGAACTGAACTGCTACTGGACAGAACTGTTTACCGCTTTAATCATCCTCGTTAAAATACTTATGTTTCTCTTCCTTTTTTAATGTTACATGATGTGCTATAAATTCCTATTAATGTTATTTATAGGAAATCCAGAAACATTATACAATTCAGTGCATGAGAAAATCTTCACTTTACCTGATGATTTCCTGCTTTATCCTGCTCATGATTACAAGGTATTTTTGGAATGAATCATTGCTTTCAAACAGCCAATTTATGAAATAAAATTTCTGATAACAACAAATTACAATATTTAGTGTCAAAACATTGTAATAATTAAATGTGTGTTTTTTCTTATAAAATTATGCACAAAATTGCAGTAACACTTTTCTTTTAAAAATTTACACAGTCGTTCAAAAACAACAAAAAGAAAATCAAAGAATGAATCTTAAAGGAACATTAAGAGGACGAATTAAATTAAAAGAATTATCGAATGTTTACAGGGCTTTTTATTAACGACTGTTGGTGAGGAGAAGAAATATAATCCAAGATTAACGAAGACTTTGAACGATTTTATAGTTCTGATGAGAAATCTTAAACTTGCATATCCGAAACAGATTGGTCCGTCCTCTTTAAGCCCTTTTTTGTTTTGAAAATCAAAGATTGATTATAAATAGTTCTTTAACTGACAAAAGAAATTTTTTAAATAAAGGGGATTTTCATGTGCAAGAGTTACTACTAGCGGAAAAAGTGAGAACTCTGTTTTGTTGTAAGAAACAGATAAGATTTAATACTGAATCTTGTTCGGCATTAATAATCATGAGTAGGTAGGCTTTTTTCTGGCAAGATAAATAATATTCGAGCAGCAGTGACTCAAAAAATACATCTCATATTTAACTATTTTAACTTTAATTTGTTCAACGAATATTCATTTTGCGGTAATTTTAGATAAAGCCATACCGGCGAATAAAGTGTGTGGCGTATACGAACTGATGGATGAGAAGATAAAAGCAGAATAGAAAAAGCCAATGAAAATGCTAAAAGCTTCCTTGGTCATGTTGTAATTTCAACCGCCATATTATGAATTAATCATGTGAGCTATCAGGCAGAAAGATGCATTTGACCTAATCGAAATCGAAAGAAGTGGGAATCTTAAGAAGGCTCTGTCTTAAAGAAGACTAATAAATTAGTTCCCACTTGCTTTTGAGGAAGTATTCATTTTGAGATGAAGAATGCAGTAAATCTGGAATTCAACTGTTCATCTTTACAAAAGTAACTACTGACGATATGTCATTATACTTTATATCATGCAAAATATAGGTAATTAGGTCTTTTCATACCTATAAAATGGACATATGTTTCGAAATGATTATATATGTTACATATCTAATTGTATTGTCGATATCATTTGAAAAATTCATAAAGGAAGTGATTGAATGTTGACATGTTCATCCGAATAATCACTTCAAAACAAAATTCATTCAAAAAAAGCTGAAGCTGATGAATCATAATTTCGATTAAAAAAGCTGTAAGCAATCTTAACCTCAGCAGTATATCCATATCATTACAAGTGGGTTTGGGGTTCAAACACATAATATGGATGAATCAGTTCCCTACTATTTCTTTTATTGTCATCCAGTTTTATAATCAGTCTATCTGAATTAAGGAATATATTGTTACGTATAAAATGTAGAAACCGAATTGGAAAGATGTGATTTGTGCAAGAAATATGAATAAACACATTTCATTTCCTGCATCAGCACATATCTTATACATTACGCAGTTATGTCAATCTCGATATCTTGATTTTCAGTCTCTATATCCCAATAAATTCCGATATTCCGAATTTTATTCCTCGTTAGCACTCGTTTGGGAATCGGAAAAAGCTGAGCCTTGTGAAAATTACGAAAGAGAAATGAAAGAAGAGGGGAGTCGTGAAGTTGACATGTCATTTACTTCAATATCAAATACTTGGGTAAGAATTCGCTCACGCGGGAGCCTTGGGCTAGATTGAAACTTAGGGTCTTGCTAGTGGACATTTCTGTTGCACATATTTTGAATTTAGTTGTATAAATTTCGTTCTATTTATCGAGTTCATCTGTTTCATGTCTTTGTTTTGTTGGCCAGTCAGGGACGGTATCTGGTATTAATTAAAAAGATGAGCGAAGTGACGTCCTCGGTTGAAAAAGCGGAAGTTATTACCAGGCCCAGGAATAAGTTGGGTGAGGATGAAGACATGATTGAGCTGCTTACATTCGAGAGAAACATTATGCTGGACACTTATGCTGATGATGTTCTTTTTGTCTTTGCCAGGTATGCCACTTTCATTGCTTACTAGGTGATTGTCATTCACTTAGTTCTAATCTTTTTTTTTTTTTATTTTTCAGTGGTTTGGGAATGGAGCGTTTCATCCTTCACCATCTACATTTATATTGTGATCCACAGTTATTGGTATTTATTATCAATACGACTCCACAAGATGATGTTAGTAGCTTTCAGGAATATTTCACGTAGAAGAGCATTGTAAGCTCTTAAGCTATGGAAAACTTTCCCATTTCATTCAAGTTTTGTATCTTAGTCTTTATTTGAGAGTTACATGTGTTTCAGAGCATTCTCTAAATACTATTGTGATACAAATCCATTGAAAAAATTAGGAGATTTCAGACATATTTCCTTTCTCGCTTACGCGATTCCAAAGTTAAATGCCCACCAAAGATCATCACAGCAGATTGCTCCATAAAGGATCGGTAGTCTTTTTCATTTTTTGTATGGAAGAATGATGGTGAGGAGAGGTTATTATCTGTTCATTTTCAAATTCATTTTCTCTTTTACCTTTTTCAGGGAATCACTGTACATGGAAGGAGGGATACAATTCATTACGTCACGGATTCTGATGGTTGACCTCTTGCAAGAACGCGTCCCAGTAAAGAATGTGGCTGGTATCATTGTCCATCGCGCGCATCAGTCTGTTTATTTCTTGATCGGTTTTGCAGTAAAAATTAGTTCATTGCTTTTGTAGTTTCTTAAAATGGGATGTAGTATTTGTTGGAATGTTTTCAGGTTGCTAAGTGGGTTTCAAGAATCATTCATCCTTCGCTTATATCGAGAAAGGAAGGCGGGTGGTTTTGTTAAGGCATTCAGGTTTTTGGTTTCATAGATTTTTTATTTCTTCAAGTTTGCTATTGCTGAACTGATTGGACTGCATAATCTGCTCTTTAGTGACAATCCGGGAGCATTGTCTGGTATGGGTGTTTTGCAACGATTGTTGAATCGATTATATATTCGAAGAGTTAGACTTCTGCCAAGATTTGATGTAGATGTGAAAAGTTCATTAGATCCTTGTTCTGTGAGTATTTACTATATATTAAAATGCATAAAGATAGTTTAGGTTGACATTTGTTTCGTTTTGTGAGAATATGGTAAAACGGAAGCGTTAATTGTTGATTTTGTCTGTAAGCATCAAAAATGTTAGAGCAGTGAGTTATAAATACTTCTTTAATATATAGTGATAAAATGATTTGAAACTGATTTCTAGCCACATATGATAGAAATAACACCTGACTTACCGCATGCGATGCGAAAGATTCAGTCATTATTGGTAGATATAATACGTACTTGTGTTCGAGAACTGAAACAGGCTTCATTATCAGCAGATGTAAGTTTTTAGAAAATGGAACTTGCATTTTCCTCATTCTGCAAAAAACTGATTAATCTTCGCAGTAATTATAGAACATCCCGGATGAAGAAAGTATGCAGCCAGCTTCGGGTCTTTTGCCTTCTTCACTAGAAATACAACTGAAAGGACGACATTTCTCCATTACTGAAAAGCAGCAGCGCCTTTTAGCTGATCTCAAACAACTTCGAAATCTTTTATACAAAGTTAGAAATATGATATTTTCGTAAATGGATGTTCTGAGTAGTTTTAATTAAAAAAACGTAAAGTTTGTAATGTAATTGCTGTCATTTTCAGGCTGAAGAACTGGATCCAATTACTCTTTACTGCTCTTTGGATGAAGTCAGAAATAATAAAGATGTGAGTTTCACTCGAGAAAATTTTCGAGCGAATTAAATTTTACCTCAACTAATCTTTGATGAAGCGTCGTTGGCTTACTTTCGAATAATTTCGAAATTGTTTGTTGTAGTCCAAGATTTTTAAGAGTATGTGTTAAAAATCTGAATAAAATTTTCTAGCTGATTACAACTAATAGTGGTTGGTTGTTCACACAGACAGCCTCAAAGCTATTTGCGGAAGCAGACAGATTGTGCAAAATTAAATCTGATACTAAACAAAGTGTGTTAGGTAAGTAATCATTTTTGTTTGCTCGAGCTATTTAGGAACTGAAGTTGTTGAGATGTTTGGCGTGTCCGACACAACTGTCCTTAATTTCCTTGTGCTGGGCTTTCTTTTTTTACCCATTGCATCATATATGCAAGTCGTTTTTTTGAATCCAGTTGAATGATTTTCTATTTGTAATGTTAGTTCCAAAGTCATCTTTTTTAGTAGTATGAAACTAAAAAAGCATAACAGCGTCAAACTTTAAAAAATGCTAAAAGCATTAAGAGTCAAACTCGAAGCTAGAAATTTCAGAGCCACCAAAATGGAAAGCACTTCTTAAAATTTTAGAGGAGATCAAAATCAATTATAAAATGGAAAGGATGAATTCTGAGAAAGGTATATTACAATTTACAGCATAAATTTGGTGGTTAAGAGAGTATTTATTTAAAAGCGCATTGAGTCATTTCCATTAAAATTTTTTACTGTGAATTACTTTGTTTCAACCAGAAGTATTTTTTAAAATATTTTCTAAAGCTTTACGAATTGTTTCTAGAACCAACGGTGTTATTAATTGGTGCAGAAAATGAGGTGTGTCGACAGTTGAGAGACATCGTCAGTTGGGGTGTGGCAAAATTTTTATGGATAAAAAATGAGCAGCTGGGACAAAAGTTCATTAATGGAAAAGGGGAAATTGAACCAGAAGCACAACCTTCATGGGATCCTTTACAAATTGTTCTTTTCGCTAATAATAGCGAGGTGAATCATTTTATACAAATCCACATTCTTTCTTTTAAGTGTTCGAACAAAGTGTTAAAAATCTTTCCATTTTTTATTTGTAGGGCGAAACAGGTAGTGAAATCATAAATAATCTGAAGGTCTTGCAAAAAGAATTCACCCAACGGAGTCGCAAAAGACGTCGTTTATTTGAAGATATAAAGAAGAAGCATGACTCAGGCAAACAGGCTCGACTCATGCGTTTCGGCATAGTGCAAATTAAAAAGATGACAAAAGTTAGTATTGTTCAAGTGTGTTCTCACTTCACGATTAATTTATTATTTTTGTCAGAATTTAAATGTCTGTCAAAAATACTGTCATCTTTTTGGAAATTTATCAACCTCTATATCGACTAATGCATTTCAGAAATGCAAGACTCGTTTCACTCTAGTTAGTATTTCTTAAAGGAAGAGGAAAGTGCATCTACTTCGAATATAAATGTCGAAGATGATCAGTCTGGAAATCCAAGTGATTCGGAAGAAGTTGGAATTCAGAATCAAGATCCTCTTCTAGTCATTGTCCCTTCTGGTGATCGATATAACCTCATCAAACAACTAGAAACCTTCGAACCACAAATTGTTATTCTTTATCATTCCGATATGGTATCCCTTCGCTTATTGGAGGTAAAGTATTATTTTGAGCTGTTCAGACAAAGTTTTAAATAAAATTTCTTTAAATTAGAATTAACACATGGCATAAGTCGTCAACTTTGAATAAATGAAAGTAGAGAAAGACATTTTTTGGAATCATTGCGAATAATCTTAGTAATCTACACTGCATATATTTAGTTAATTATGTACCGTTGCAGATGTACAAGGCATGCCACTCTCACATACCGTTAATAATCTATATTGTAATGTACGGGAATTCAAATGAAGAAGAGCGTTACCTCTGCTCACTGAGGAAAGAACAAATTGCCTTCGAGGAAATGGTGCGGGAGCAGGGGGTATGTCCGATTGTAATAGTTAACCTTAGGGATTTGACTAAAGTGTATTTTTAAAAGTAATTATGTGATAAACCATTTTCAGACGCTGATGTCCGCTAGGGAATATGAAACAGATCGTGAAGAATCGCACAGATTGATACTTATGAGATCAACGAGAGATGCTGGTGGAAGAGCTAACCAAAACGAAGGAAACCCAAAGGTGAATTTTTTCACTTTGTCGAAGTTCATGAACCATTAAATAAACCACTGAAAAAAACATGAAGCACTTTTAAATATGAAAACACAATGTAATTCAGCATTTTAGGTGATAGTTGATATGAGGGAATTCCAGAGCGAATTACCAACAGTGCTTTACAAGCGAGGTATAGATCTACTGCCAGCTACCATTGAAGTTGGAGATTACATTCTCTCGCCAAATATAGCTGTTGAAAGAAAAGCTCTCGATGATCTTACTCAATCACTTCATAGTGGTCGCATCTTCAAACAAATTGAACAGGTCATTTTTATCAATTTTTGTTTTTAGAATTAACTACTTAAGCTATCCTTTAGTGCTACTGATATTGAAATTAAATCTGTTAAAAACAGTTCTTTGGATTGCTCATTATATTAACATTTAGCTATAACATAACTCTTTTTTAGCATAAATTGTGTTTTAGATGCTTCGTCACTACAAAAATGTAATTCTGCTTATTGAAGCAAATGTCAAAGATGACTACAAAAAAGTTAATGGTGGTCCCTTCCAAGTAAGCTTTTGACCTTAACCTTATGTCTCTTTTTTTTTTTACTTTTTTTTTTTTTATTTTTTATGACATTAAGTTCAGCACAAAATTTTAACTCGTTAGTTCAAATTATTTCTGTTGTTTGTGTCTAGTTGTCCCATTATTGTGGAAAAATGAAGAAAAACGATAACTCATAACCATTTTAAAAAATTAAAGGGAGAATTAAGTCGTCGTTGTCGTGAAACGCGATCGCTTTTCACAGTTTTGGTGAGAGCATATCCAGCTATGAATGTTATTTGGACTTTAGATCCTGCTCATTCATCCGAAATGTTTGAAGAGCTAAAAGTAATTTATGTATTCCAATTATTTCTTTATTTTATAAATTACTGCTGCTGATACGACATTTATATTTGAAGTGCGATCCATTTTTTGCAATTCAGAACGAACTATTAAATGTAATTTATAATCAAATTTAGAAATGATGATATCATTTTAGATGTAGTTTAATGTTTTACAGCTAAATGAGCCGGACCCTGACCTGATTCAAGCATTAGCGGTTAAAAGTGATCTCGAGGAATGCACTGATTTACCTGATTCTGAATCAGGTTTTTTTTTTTTTCGATTCTCTTGTGAATGTAAAATTTGACTGTTAGACATATATGTTATATCAATCAATCCATTTATTACCCCATGTAGTATTTTTTTTTTTTGAAAAATCGCATCGGAGAACCGTTTTTCCTTTCCAAATTCAATTGCCGGATGGACTTGCTTTATTATGAACGAACTCAATTGACCTTTTTGATTAAGCTGACACTGTCAGTTATCCAACTTTTCGATCAATATCTGTTTTAAAAATTTTTCGTTTATAACCAAAGAGCAGTTCAATTCATCGTTCTTTAAAATGTTTCCCATTATAACTTTTTGCATTATTTTTCACGCTCGCTTTCTTTTCCTGATAAATTAAAACTCACTTTTCGTACTACTTTGGTTTTACTTAGGTGATAAGGCAGTATCAAGGCGTTTAAATTCTGTTTTACATCGGCAAATGACACGCCTACCACGTATTTCTAGTGGTGAAGTGACTCGCTTGATGAAATGTGGGAAAATGAAATGTTTATTGGATGTTGTCAACAGTGATGTGGACGAACTTGCAAGTGTTTTAAGTAACAAAGAGCTATCTTCTTCATTACACTGTTTTTTCAATACTGATTTAAAGTTGAAAGCGTTAATGCAATAACATGAATGAATTCATGAATATTCTTGAAATAAATGCATGGAAAAAAAAAAAAAAAACTGGTGAAGAATTTGAACAGTGCAAACAAATCTTTAGGAACTTATTCTTTCCTTTTGCAGTTTTTGTTCCTGTCTTCTTTGTCTTCTTTCGTGATCTCTATTACCTTCATTGTCATCTTTGTTCAATGCCAAATTGATCATTACTAAAATTAGTTCTGAATTGTCGTTTTTACTTAATTTCCATTTTTTATGCAGCTATATATCCATCTTTTTTTGGACAAAAATTGTCCTATTTGACTGATTATTTTTGGTTTCTATTCAATTTGTAGTTTATAATTTTCTTTATCTCTGTGGCTTATACGTTTTAATCAAGCATTAATTCTTATCATTTAGTTCAAAAGGACTCTCTTACATTGAAATGTATGATATAGATTGCCGTTTTGCTCAGCTACGTGTTTTGGAAAATTACTTGACTCTGATGAAGTGGCTTGTTATTATTATTATTAAAGTTCTATCACATTTTTTCATTTAGAGTAACAAGAGTTTCAGAATATGCGATAAATCTAAAAATTTGAAAAATTATGAACATTAGTCTTGTTTTTTCTTTAATATTATAAACTTAACTCATGCAGGCACTATTATCAACAAAGTTTGCTGATCTTCACTGTGACAGATCTATATTGTTTTTCCTCGTAGTGGTTCAATTATTCAATTTATTATTACTTTATCTTTTACCTCTTTTTTTCAGTATTTACTTTGTCTTTTGCCTCTTTTTTCAGCTGATTGACGGAAGGGGTAAAAAGTTCCGTTTTTAATTCATCAGGAAATTGGTTATTTTTATGAATTCAAATTAAATAGCGAACTATTGTTATTAATGGAAAATTCTTTGTTAATAGAGGATTGCTTATAATTGCAGGAGGCGTTAAGTAAAAGCAGGCAGTTAAGGTAATTCAGTTATTGTTAACCAAAAAGGATATCCGGACGTTATCCCTGACAACCTTTCTTACAACTGTTATTTATCAAATTAACCTTGATTCTGAGTCTCTTTTTATATCCACCTTTCCATTAAGTAATATTGCAATATTTCACTTTATCACATGAATGCAGAAAAAAATTTCTATGAAAAACATAAGTGATATTAACAATCGTATTAATAATGCATTATCTCATGGTAATGAATCTTTTTACATTCACAAATCGAATTGTTACTTTCAATTTTCCATTTCAAAATTATTTTTCCTTTTAGTTCCAATTACATTTTTAACTTTTAATTTACATTAATTTCAGTTTTATTCTTTATTTATGTTTAATTTGATGGCAACTTAATGGCGATTACCACCAGTTTCTTTATTTTGGCTATACTTTAAATTTTAATTTCCCGTATTTAAATATTTTAACTAATATCGTTTAAGCTGAATGCATTATGCACGATTCCCGTAAGTAATCACAATGGAATTTATGAATTTGAAACATCTGTTTTACAGAAGCTGTTCTTTCGAGAAATTTTGAATTTTTTTTTTTTAATTTAATAATTTATAATAATTAACTATTAGTAGTATGTCCATTCCCTGCTTTATGTTGTTGACACCTATCATGTGGAGCAATAGGGTTCATTCATTTTTGCGCTGAGTAATATAATGAATATATTTTCAACACTCACTTTTTTTCGAATTAGCCTTGGAATTCTAGAATCTATATTTATTTTCGTTTCCAATGTTCAATCCTTTTTCAAATTGATGTGAATTGGCATGTCTGCAAAATTTTCTATTAACAAGGGAATTGCTTTTGCATTCCTGTTAATCCTGTTAAGAAATTTTTTCTTAGGATTTAAATAATTCTTTCCAGACTATTAAACCAATAAAAAACCAGTTTTTTAAATCATTGTTTGATCCTGTCTCAAAGTTATTTCTGCTCAAATTGTTTTATGCTTTAATCATTTCAATGTTACAGAAATTCCCACAAATTTTGAGAAAGATATAGGATGTAATTAATTGCTTTGATAAATTCGAAGTGATTGTATTATTGGTTGAATCTGGAATGTTACTAATTGCTTGTACTTTTCACTTCATATTTTAACTTTTTTTTTGAAGTTTTTTTTTTAAGTAATATTGAGGAGTAGCTTAAGCATATCAGTTGTTGAGAGAAACAATTTAAGTAAAGTAATTTGATAAATTTAAGTGTATAATTTGTTTGAGAAAATTTGAAATTCTGTTGAAAATCAATTTTCAAACGTGTCACATCAGAGTGCACATGCAATAATTTAAGCTTAATTATTACACATCGGGGGAAATAGTCTTTTGGATTTCAAATTAATCAAAAATTAATAATCAAAAGGTATGACTAATTATATTTCTAAACAACAAATGATAAAAATGTTCGTTATCGACTCAAGTTTGGCTCACTAAAAATGTCTCCATGAAATAAAAATAAACTTGACATGTGTACCGTGCATTTGGATTCATCATCAACGCAAGCTCACTTTTTAGATTTCAAGTTGCACTAAACGTTGTTATGCCTTAATAGAAGTGAAAGTAAATTTATAATGGGGAATGCAGCAGGCTCAATTAAGAGAAGTAAATCAATTGGCACATGGATTAGTTCAGAATGCGAGAATCCATTCGAAATTGCCTTCGTCAAAAAAGAACGGACGTGTTTGCGTGAAAGTTTTCAGGTCATCAGTTGTTTAATTTCATTTTAAATTAAGTTTGTCTTTGGTGAAACTTATTTTTTCTCAAAATAGATAATCTAAATCGGTGAAATTCACGATTTCTTCCAAATATCTTTTTAGTCCTAGAATTTACAATCTTTTTTAAAAAACTCTTTTAGAAATTGGAAGATCCAAAAGAAATTATTGGAATTATATTTGTGAAAATCCTAAACGATATTGCACCTGAACTGAAAAAGGTCATTTTCTTGTTTTTCAACTTCTTAACACAAAATAGGTAATTTTCCGATATTAAAAATGGATAATTTTCTGACATTTAAAGCAATGAAAAAATAATTGTTAAGTCAACACAATACAATAAACTAACAAAATTAAACACCAAATTTCAATATTGAAGCAAAAAGTCTTAAGCTGCACATAATACATGGAAATACTGTTCACAGTGTAATGAGAGGAAGTTTCGAACAATCTTCTAAATTGATGCATACAAGAATTACTAATTAGTAGTAATTGTAAATTCATTCAGCGAGTTTAATTTTAATTAAATTGGCTAAAAAATTGCTAAGAAAAAATACTCTTATGTTAGTGCTTCATTATCTCTTGCTAAATTCGAATTAACCAAAATTTTTACAGCCTTTTGGCGTTGAAAGATCACCTAAAGCAACGATGCCAAAAATGCCAAAACTGGGTGGACACATCGTACGGTTTACCGATTGTCTTGACCAAGTGTGTCTTGTTTCATTCAGAACTTTGTAGTTGCCATAGATTGGTTACATGCCAGAAGTGGATTGAAAATATTAGCTGCCAAATCATACTATTTAATTCAACTTTCCTGATAAGCTATTGATAGTTTCGATTATATGATTTTAACTGATCAAAATAGCAAGTATTTTTATTGCTTACTTCATGATATCGAACTCTTTGTCGGATCATATTTCCATTATAATTATTTAGTTGTGAATAGAGTCATAAGAAAGTATCGATGAATAGATTTGTAACATTTTGTGGATTTTAGTTTAAAAACTTTTGATGGTAGCTAAATAAACTTATTTCGAAATGCGTTTTCATATTTCTATCAGTTTAAAAGATTCAAATGGACTGTTTTATCATAACAATTACAGTTGACAAATATGATTGGTTATACTGAAAATCTAATTGGTGCTTGGCAATTGGCTCGTAAAACTGGTCGAGCGCATTCCAAACAGTCATTTTTGGAAATGAATCAAAATGAAGAGAAGAATTATTTTGCTGTTGTAGGCAATACATTCATCGATGAATTCATTCCCTATCTGAATGGTGAAAAAGTGATCCATTAGTTTCTTATTTTTTCTTCTTTTTTTTTTGGTACTTTTTTGACACTAAGCAAATAACAACAATTTTGACTGCATTTAGTTAAATTAGGTATTTTAATTTTAGGAAGAACCAAGTCAAGATAAGAAAAGAGTGAGGTTTGCGTCCACTTATTCTGTGACAATGATAAGCGATGTGTGGCGAAGATTCTTCACTATTCTTGTAGCACAGATAACGGAAAGTTTTGAACAGGAACGGAAAAAGCATAACAAGATAATTGATAAGAAGACATTAGCACCACATCAACTCAGTGAGCAGAATGCGCAAATGAACAGAAGAAATTGGTTCGATTTTGTCATATACAATATTGTGGCTTACAAACTTTATACCAAGTCTTCAAAGCAAAGATATTTTTCTGCAATCAGTGATATCTCAGGGAACACTTTTATAGTTTTCCGAACTCAACAAACTCGCTAAAATTAAATCCTTCAAACTAATTGTAACCCATTCAACGTAACGCATAATTGTATAATCAATCGTTTTCATCCAGAGAAGTGGACCTGGACTGGCAATGCTTGATGATTACAGTACATTAACACCGTGGTTGTTACAACGAAATTCGGGCATATTTGAAAAATAGTTATCACAACTTCGCACATATGATATCATTTACCAATGATTTATTGTAGATTCGTTTTGGAGCAATATAAATGTGGTAATTAGTTATTAACTTTTGCTTCCCACCTGTAATTTATTCTTGTTGCAATAAAATTTTTGGTTTGTTTCACTAATTTTCCATTCATTAGTAATCAAATGTCATGGTAAACAAAATATTAGAGAATTTTCCTATCAGATGAAAAGAATAAAAAGCGCCATCAAATTCCTACTGCGTGCAATGACATGGAGAAAATTATCCCAAAGATAATAGCTTCGTTTTTCTTACCGGAAATCATCAAACATTTTTTAAAATCACTTATGGATTTATTTAAAATTACAGAGATGAGAAGAAACGTAACGATCATAACGATTAGAGACACCTTTTCCACTTTATCCGCTGTAAAAGCTTACTGAACAAGACTATTTCAGGAGAGACACCAAATAAAAGACAAACCAATATCTACCGAAAATAACAAAGTGAACTCTTCCTGGACTTCTATAAAGCATCCTCTAATGCACACAAACTCTTCATTCGTTATTTTATTTATATTAATGTAGAAAAGGTTTCTTCATAGTATAAAAATCGAAGATGTTCATTTCTTTGCAATAGCACGAAAAATTATTATGGAAGCACTAAAAGATCAACTGGCATCAAGCAATCCAGACAAAATAGCCGTGGATTATTTTAACTCACAAAACAATTTCGACTTTCTGTTATGTTTGTATAATAAAAATGAAATCGTGATTGTACTATATTTTGAAGCGGTGTAGTGAAACATGAGTAATTTTTTATTACACAAGAAAATTAAATTCTTCATTAATATAGAAAGAATAAATAAATAAGGTACACAAATTAGAACTGATTTGCACAATATGATTATCAAAAATAATCAATTTCATGGCAAGAAATTTAGAATTATCTTTATATGGAACAATGTAATCCAACTTAAACAATTTGTGATGACTGACGATTTGATTGGGATTCATTTGATTTTGATAAGACCTAAAATTATAGAATTCGCGGTAAAACAGTACAACAAAATGATTATAAACTCGAGCTGTCCGTTCAAATCTTTGGAAATAGCTGGGTTCACAAAAGGTAAAGAAAAACTAATAATAAAAATATGGGAATTAAACAAGAATTTTTTCTTTTTTATTGCAATTATAAATTTTCAAGTCTACATCAGCAACGAAGTTAATTCTTTAAGAAGAAATAAAAACTAATTTCAAAAAAAATCAGAAACTGACTGAAAGGAATGCCATTTTGGATATATAATTGGTGAATTCATCGGCAGTTCCCCATCTGCACCGCAAATAACCATATAAATTTGCTCCATTCATTAATAGACCCATTATAGCTATCACCATCCATTCCCATTTTAGGGTTACAAAAGCAATGCATACTAATATCGTCCACATAGCTGGTGCTGCGACTAGAGCACCCCAAAAAATTCGTCGTTCCAAAGCATCAAAGCGGGACATATCCTATAACAATTTTTAATGATATTTTTATAATGTAGAGAACTGAATGTGCTTCTTCACCTTTATAGAAGGTGACTTTTTGTATATAGAAGAAACAAAAGTCAGAATTAGTCTAGGAAAAATTCATTTTTCCAATCATCAGCCCAAAAAATCGACCATCAGTATTTGTATACAAAACTTTTCTACTTATCTTGAAAATCATACCTTTGCTGATTCGTATCTCCAATGATTGTTACCTTCAACATCAACGAAATTCCACCAACGAAGACCGACAAGAAGACGTCCAGTTATATTTTTCACGGTCCAAAAATCAATAGATAACAAAGTGAGCTGAAAACAGCAGTAAAAAATAGCCATAGCACTGTAAAAAAATAAGTATTCTATTCATTGGAAAGAATAAACGAAGAAATCAAAAAGGATTTAAGAACTCACAACAACTAAAAAATGTATAATAAAAGAATCTGTGAAGAAATACGCAAAAACATAGAAGAAAATAGCGGCTGAACGGAATATCACATGAGAAAATACAATGGATGGATGGCTGAAACAAAATACAAAGATGAACTTTCCATTAATGTAACTATTTATTTCTATTATTCAGAAATGATGTGGTCTAGAATAAGCTATCAGCATCTTTGCGAATTAATCTGGAATAATAATTCGTTCATTTATACTGCTCTTATCCGAAAGCCCTACTGAAGTAAGGCAATACGAAATCCGTCTCCTCTTCATACCACAATATCTGCTATGAATCGCAACTGACAGACACTCTTCATATATAGCTGATTTTCCACACACACACATACACACACGATGTAAAAAAAAAAAAAAAACAGATTTTGACAACGGTTATACCTAAATGTCCTTTGAACTCCGGATTTTACAAATCCTTGTCCTTGAGAGATATTCAATTTCGAGTCAAAATTCGCAGCCATACTTCTCTCCTGAAAACAAGCTAAGCAAGACTTTACTTTTAAGCACAGCTATTAAAATTTCTCCTTAAAAAAACTTCGCAAGAAATATTCATTCTGTAATGACATGAACAAAGACTGATGGCCATTAGTCAACGGTGGATAATCTTTATCGTTCCACCCAAAAATTACTGACTACAGTAACCAAATACTCTTTACAAAGGAAAAAAGACCAACATAATTTAACACCTCTTGCGTCTCTTCTGATCCCCTCTGAAAGATTAAAATAGTTGAAAGGCAAAAAACAAGAAACAGGGCGAAGCGTTAATTAAATCAAAATCCGAGAAAATTGAAGAACTCAAATTCACATGTCTTTATTTCGTCCTTCGTTAGTTGAAGTGAAAAACTCTATAATAAATGTACAAGTAAAACGGCAGGGTGGAAGAAATTTGTGCAGTGTTTGAAAACAAACTATAGTAACCAAAACTTCATGTGAGAATTTATTATAAGACCAATTACAAAAAACAAAAATTACTTGCTTGCTGAAAAATTACTTGAGAAATGAGTAATGACGTCTCGAAAAAGAACATCAAAACACTAGTACTAATAATCTGATGTGAGATCTGATAAATCCCCCCTGTCCTGGAACAATAACATTGGATAAACTTAAACCAGAATTGAACATAATACATTTTCTGATATTTTCCCAATCTCATTTCGTCAGAAAGTAAATTTCAAATTGTAGGGTTACCAAGTAAAATAAATGAAAAATGATAAAAACTAACAAAGCAAAATCATAAAAACTGATAACGAAATCCTATGTCGTTAAAACAATTTAGCTTCCACAGCATCATATCATAGCTTTAAAAGTGGAATAAAAATGGTATAATGTCATTTTAAAGATACAATTTTTATATTACACCGCATTATTTACAAGTTAATGCAATTAAATCCCATTCATTTGCCGTATTGTTCATTTCATATCCAATAATATAGCAATTTCTTCATGCTCACACCGGAGCCTTAGCTTCTTTTCCACTAGTGCATCCAGTAATTTCTCATGCTCACCAGCACTGACGTCTTTGTAATCCATAATGAGTGATTTAGACCATGGACATTCAGTATATGCTAGGTAGAACACCTTCAAAAAACAATATATATTCAACAATAAAGTTTAATTCAAGAAATTTTTACAATTAAAAAGCATCATTTTAGTACCACCAAAAATAAGTGATAAAGAAGAAACAGAAAATTTGTAACTAAGTTTATGGAGAACTGTAAGACTAACTCATAGATATAGATTAGAATAATTTTACGATAAAAAATATTAATATCAATCTAGAAAGTGGAAGAACCTCGCGTGCACGTGGAATGTCTTTCCGTTCATTCTCGATAAGCAGTAATAATCGCCAAAAAACATCATCACGGTGACCGATACGCTCACTTGACTTTTTCACAGCTGCTCTAAGACGATGCAGCTCAGGCGATTGGAAATCATTTGTCTCTAGCAACATTCTGTGCCGGAATAACTCAAGGTATACAGAACCAAAAGCAAGGCAGTAATTTGTGTGCCAATCTAAAATGAATTAAATTCACTTTAGGCATGTAAGGTAACTACATTTTCAATAATTTCTAAAACTGTAATCAAACAATGCATGTTGCGAACCATTAAAGGTCCACACTAAAAATGTTCACTATACATGTTAACTGACCGACCTACTGAGAGAAAAAACTATATTTCGAAATCAAATTTGGAAATGCATGGGAAAAAGCAACCTTATGATAAAAAAAGAAAACGATGAAATAAAGAAGATAACGTTGATCAAAGGAAGATTTAACGTAGAAATTCCTTTTGTTCCATGTTATGATTAAATATCATAATAAGAAAATCAGAGAAAAATATAAACGTTTAAAGTGAAGGATGAAATTTTCAATTTGTCCAGACTTACGTCAGGATAAAATTCAGAAACTAAACTTGGAGACTGAGAAAGCTAGATTGTTCATTTCTCTATTAAAACATGAACAGATATACTATATGGGTACTGAAAACTGCCGACGCCTAATGTTAAATTATTTCATTTAATCAACTCGATATCTGCTACTTCAAGACAAAAATATCATTCGAAAATAAAATCATACCTTCCACATCATTTTCTAGGAATCTTCTTAAATGTATGACACGTGTTCCTACAGCACAACAGTCTATATAAGTCTTCAAAAAAGATATCTCTGTTGGAAATTTTTGATAAGCCATTATAGATGCTTCTACTAACAAGCGTTGAGGTTCACATGGATTACTGGTGACATGCATTCGCAACAGTTCCAGATATTTTCTCTAGAATTTCAGCATTAATTCCTAAATAGACGAGCTGGTTAAACCGTGCCAGATCAGGTTTTCAATAAAAAAAGTTTACTAATGATAAATATTAAAATATATATATAATAATTAAATCCCTCAGATAATGCTTTATCGATTACTTTATCGAGCTATTTTCCTGCTTTTAAAAACATAGCTTTTATATTTAGTATTTTACAAAAATGCCCCTATTACCAGATCATGCCAACATTCGCCTTGCTTAATAAAAATAAAGGTAATTTTGATCTTAGACAAAAACGAACAGTAAATCTGCGTTGTGAAGTATTCATGATGCCAGATAAAGTTGCGTAGCATTTTTTCAAATTGTGTACTCGTTTGCTATTATCAGCATAATAATATGCAAAAAGAAGAGTCAGTGACGCCACGAGATCAACTACAGAGCCTTCCCATGTTTCGCCCGTGTATTTAGCTGTCAGAAGATTATGGAGACGAATGTTGACTTTTTTTTCAATCTTTTCTGCATCTGTTGTCTGAAATTATACAGTGTTTTAAGAAATTTTAAATGAAGATTATACATCAACTGTACATTATCTGCTTAATTTTACATTCATACATTCATGAAAACATCTCAGTTCTCAGCGCACTATTAAAAGCAGTAACTAATATAACTAATGCATCACTTTTAGTATGCCAAGCACAGTTATTCACCATATTTTGTCAATCTGCATAGACCACGAAACAAGTTTCATTAAGAACGGCTACCAATTAAAGAACAGTGACGAAACAGATTCTAATTTGGCTATAGTAATAACTACAGAACAAATCGAAATCACATTAAAAACAGTTACTGAGTTAGAAAATGCTCTAAACAATAATTCAAAAGCAATTGCAATCTAGTAACACTTTTCAAATTTAAAATTACCACATCAACCATAGGTTTTCCTTCACATATGAAACTCGCAATGAGGCGCCGCTTCTCGGTTTCGTCATCAGTTGCAGATATATATACAATAGCCATACGAAGTAGCGAAATTGCTCGTACCTTTTCACCTTCACCCCACATATTTGTCATGAGGAATTTATTAGCACAAACTTTTGCTACGTTTTTTTCTCCCAACTCATACATCTAAACAACACAGACTATCAAATAAGTCCACTTTCTCACTAAATAAACGCTACTATTATGCTCTTGCCTTTTTTCTAAAATTCTACTCATATGCATTTAATTTCTGAGATAAAGAATTGAAGCCTAACCAAAAATACATCCAAAAAAACATACTTTTTCTGCAAATGTTGCCATCAGCGAGACATTGTTAACATTGTTGTTCATATTGCATATACTTTTCGCTTCGTCTCGAAATTTCTTCAAACGTACTTTTTCATTCAACTCACCATCCATTTTAAGGAAATTAAGATATCTAAATCAATTATCAAAGAATCAAAAGAGCATACAAAAGCAAATAAAACATATCAAAGGTATGTAAGAGCAAATAAAACATTCTTTGATATTATTAGTAAATGAAAGAAAAGATTTCGAACTCCCAGAAATGATTTTAGCGATATTAAAAGCGACAAAATTATTTCCACCAGTAAGCTTTGAATTTGTCACTCATTGTATAACCACTGTTATTTAGAAAAGTGAAGAAAAAGTAGAAAAAATTGAAAACTGAGAATATACAGCAAGATGAACTAGCAACTGGGATGAATTTGAAAATATAACAATTCTGATAATGAATAATTATAAAGCATACGTAATAAGTTGTGATGACAGCAATAAATCACGTTTCTCTTCCATGTAATTGGAAGCCAGCTCGAAAAATCTGCTTACTGATTTTTCAAAATTCCTCAAGAACAGAGAAAGATCAGGAAAAATGGCAAACTCATGCATAATGTTAGCTGGTAAAGTTGAGTCCTGAAATGATAGAAGAAAGTTTCGAAATGAAAGAGAATGTCGTCAAGGGAAATCGGAATTCCAAAGAATAAATTCAATGCTTCCTCTTCTAGAAAAGTTTAAAAGCTACTAAGGTGAGCAACGAATATTTACTGCATATCAAATTCCACATGTGATATGCTTCGCGCATCAAATAACAAAAGAGATCAAAATTCATTCGTGCCTCATTTTAGTGCTACTAAAGTTTTACTGGTATATTGTTTAGATTGTACTGATCAAAATTCAATCTCTCTCTGATTTAGTACACAAAGCATATCACATGTGAAAACTGATATACAATAAATAGTCGATGCTCACCTTAATATGTAAGCTTTTCTTGAATGCCAGCATACTGACATTTAAATAATTTTTGCGAAATGGAATTGAAAAGAAAACCATAAACCATGAGTCATTTAATGTTACTAAAGATCACTGCAGATATTCGCATACCCGACCATATATCAGTGCTCCAAATTCTTCTAAAATGCTGCAGAAAAGATCGAACATAACAGAAGGACTAAGCACATACAATACATCCTCAACATCTTGAAATGTCACAACTCGTTCTCTGTCATCAAACTGTAATTATCATAAAATAAAAAAGCAAAGAAAAAAACCATTAGCTGTTGCAATAACATCAGACATCTATGTGAAGCATACCGTCGCGCCTAAATCTCTGATCGGCCTCCACTGATACTGCGTTCGTAGACGTTCTACTTCTATCCAGACAAGATGACAAGGTAACTTTAAACCATTTGAGCCAACTCTGTTACATAATTCAGTCTCCTTTTTGTCATATTCCAACTGTTCCTCTTCGCACATCGACAGATCTGTTTTTACCATTCCTTTCTTTAAGTGTTCTAATGATTTCGCCCATCCTAAAGTTAAGAGTGGAGGTTAAAAGTCTTAACATCGTCGAATATTAGAAGTTTGAGAATGAAAGCAGAAGTAAAATTGAAAACCTTCTGCGCCTTCATCGCCGATACGAGCGATTCCACTATCCCAGAAAGCTTCGAAAAGTTTTCGTTTATCTTCCAACTTCGCATTTCTAAATGATTCTGGAACACATAAGTTAAATTCGCAAATAGCTTGAGCCGTCCCAATTGCCTGAAATATCGATTTATCAGAAAGAAAACAGTAGTGTAAACTTATACTTTACTTTTCCTCTTCACGACTTTCTTTGTAAACAAGTTGAAAAAAATAATGAAAAACATAAGGAAAACTGATTCACCATAAAAACATAAAAATTAAGAAAATTATTTCTGAGAAGAAATCTGAAAAGTAGAATTGCTCATAAAACACTAAGTTACCTTTTCAATATGTCCACATTTCCACAGAAGACGTATTCTACGAAGGATCACAGATGCCATGAATTGTTCAGTGTTCGGCAGTGCCTTGTGTGACAACAATTTACCGTTCCGTATTTCATCAAGTTTTTCCAAACATACTTTCATCTTTATACACTAAAACATTGGTTAGAAAAGTATGATAATTAAAAAAAATCTCTAAAATTGAGCTGGCTAAATGAAGAAAATAACGACGTGAAAATAAGGGTGATTAACATCAGATAAAAAAAGAAAACAATCGTTACATTTCCCTAATTATATGAAAAAAAAAAATATATATATATACTTTAAGCTCAATTCAATAAAGGTTTTTCCAGAATCATCTGTATGCAAACCTGATTAGCAAGATTGAACCGTCTCGTGTCATTCTCCAAAAGATCAAGTACGCCTTTCCACATTTCTGGATCATTGACATGTCTGAACTCCACCTGACAAGTGTTTGTAAACAGAATATTGAAAGTAATTATTGATAAGCAGCAATATATTAATTACACAGTGCAACAAAAGTTATTTAAAAGTAAGAAATATAATCAAGATAAAAAGCTAACATCTCTAATTTCGCGATTTAAGACATTCTCTTCCCATAAATGCATTCCAATTTTTAGCCGCTCTAGTTTGAGTTTCACGCAGTTGAAATTAAAAGAAACAGCCTGCAAGTAGTTTTAGTGCTTGCAATAACACCGATTTTTAAAGGAATAAATGTAGCATGAGCAAAATATTCATTACAACACACATAAATTCCCATCAATAAAACTAAGATTAAACATTGCTATTCGTAAATAGCAGCAAAGACATAAAACATTCCATTACCTTGTCCAAAATGCTCATTTTTCGTTCAAAGAGCTCACGATTCGTAAGCCGCTCATCCCTCGTCTTTTTATTTTCCAGAGTGTCTTGCGCCAAAAACACTTCATCCTTAAAAAAACTTAATCACATCAGAGCAGTTACTGTGATATTTAGAGAAATGCGAAAATAGCATGTGAAGAGCAACCAACCAATAAATTCATTTAACGAAAAAAGACATATAAAATGATAATCCCCACCTGAACTGCCAAGAATTTCAACCACAATTCAATATTATATCGGTCTTTTCCTAATTCCGCATTATACTTTCGACTTCTTGCTTCTGCAGTGGCCTCAATCAAAGATCTTCCACCTTGAATTGCTTTACACTTTTCCAAGCTCAAATTTCCACTCTCATCCTTAATTTTTGAAATAAAAATAACAAAAACATGAAAAATGCAGAAATTATATCATTATATAACAAAATTGCATTACCTTCAAATCATCTTCTGACAAAGCAAATTTAGAGAGCTCAATGTAATCTGTGAAAGGTTTTAGTTCTTTTGTCCTCCATAACCGTTCTGGTTCTTCTTTCCAGGTCTTCCTAACTTTATCGCTGAAGTATCTTTGGAAGTTATCCTTCTTCTCAGAAGTACCAAAACGAAACCTATAAACAGAAAATGTGACATGTAACTCTTGTAAACAGAATGAATAAGAAATTACCTTTATGAATTTAGATGAAGTAGATAGAAAACGACAATATTAGAAATAACTAGATAATTCAAGATTCTCAAATTTAATTCAACAGCTCTGCGTTCAGTTTCTCTTCCTTGTTAATAAATTGCCTAATGAATAAGCAAAGAATCATAATTTGAAGGTAATTATTCTAATACTTACCTTTCAAGAACTTCGTTACCACCAAGGACTTTCTTCAATAAAAATTCATACTGTGCTACGTCACTTTTGTATAAAGACTCGTAATGCACATTAGAACGATCACCTTTTAAATCCATCACCATGAATGATCTCGCGTTGGACGGATCGAACTTTATCATAAAACTCCACCGATGGTTTGCCTAAACTTTTTTCGGTTTACCAAAAAAAAATTGGATGTGTGACTCATAACAATCTGACACCAACTTTTATTTTTGAAGATTAAGTCAGGTGATTTTGAATTGAATCACTGGAAATCAAAGAAATAAGAGGAAAATTATTTAACAGATACTATTTATTATGTAGATGCTATCTTTGAGTAAATTGTCAAAAACATATATACGTCATGTCTGACATCATCATACCATCTTTCCCAGTATGCATTTTAACAGAGTAAATAAATTCAATAACGATATTGTATTAGTTGAAACGATAACTAAAAGGGATTACATCAAAGTGAAGACAATTAGCTCTAAAACTAACACATAGTATTTGCGGAACTGAAAGTCGCGCATTATATTTATCTTCGCTTAAATTCGAACTGGTACTGTCTCTGGATGAATTTGATGACTTGGAAGATGAAGATGATGAAGTGGACCGTCTGCGTCGTTTCTTCGTCTTCTTTTCTTTTGATGAGCGTTTTAGCTTCCTTTTTTCTTTAATATTTACAACAGACATGAAGTCTAAAGGTACTTCGATATCACTTTCATCATCAGAATTGATGCCGACCATCTGTAAAATAGCAGAAACATATTTGATTTACAATTCACGTAGCATATCTGCATTCCACATGTTGGTAGCTGAAGTAGTCACTGTCTATAAATCATCTGCAGTAAGATGGTGGGTTGGTTATTCGGTTGTAATTAACACCTGATGAATACAGTAAAACCTTAATTTGCCTATTATGAATCGTCCTTTTAATACATTAGCTCTTTCACGAATTTGCAAGAGACCAAAATGACAATTACTTTGATAGAATGCTGCGATAACAACCGTTCTCGTTCAAGCTTTTTTTTTCGTTTTGCTTTTCTTTCCTGACGTTCGCATCTCTGTTGTTCCTTATTTTCACATTTTTTCTTTGATCTAGAAGCAAACGAACCAAAACGACCACTGAAATCGTTTTCTTCATCGAGTGGAGCAATATGACGTGGAGGAGAATCCCGATCATATGCCGGAAACATTGTCCTGTAAATAATTGATAAATGCCGACAACTAGCTTACCGCTTACTGTCGATCATAATTTTCGAAACTTAAAACTTTGTTTGAAGAAATATGATAAATCGAAGGAACATTTCCAACTGTAGCTAATGATACAGCCTTTCCTGTCCCCCTTGTTTCCATTACATCAACAACGTACACAATACAATCAATCACCTATAAAAATATGAGCAATTGAAAAAAAAAAAAAAACTTTCTCTGTCGAAATCCTTATTTTGCAGTAAATATTGCGTCTTAGAAAATCATTTTAGAAACAGATTAACATGAAGTACAACATGAAATACTGAAAACTTCGGCACTTCTAAGATTTGTATCTTCCAACCGTGAGAGTATAAAAAGTCTCACGAATAGTGTGAATCATGATAAAAAGTTATGAAACGATAGCGAAACAGGACAGTCTAAGAACTATGACGTACAGTGAACACATGCTAAGGTGGAAATCGTGTAAGAGCGTTAGGTAAATCAGTGAACTTACCCCATTTAATCGGTTTATAAAAAAGAAAAATAGGTATATGTATAAAAATAAGTGCACCTTCTAAAAATATCTAAAACCTATACCATCGTCTTCTTAGCTCAGAATAGGCTCTTCCCCGTACCCTCCCCATATCCTTCGTGATAACAACCCAAGAGAGAAGTAATCCTTCCACAGTGAACAAATGCACCACCGCCTCGCCTCAACCACCAGGCCTTTTTTGTTATTAGGTGGCCCGAAAGGAAAACCCTTGAATTGCCCATCCTATGCTAACATAATTAGTTTATGGCAAAAAGTTAAATCCTAATGTCAAGAAAAATGCATATCAATTTCATTCAACATTCCTAAATACAATAATTTTGGAATAATACATACAAAAAATACATACACGCACATACGTACATAGAAAAGAAAAACCCGTCATGGTCCACCATTGTTTACCAGTTCCAGTTCATTCGCTGTGTAAATAAATTGGCTAATATATATAAATAAAATTGATGTTATCAAGTCATACTTCTCCTTCTGTTTTTAAAAAGTTACAGTCATAAAAGTATATCATTTCTTTCATCTTTGTGGATTTTGCTTTTTTTTTCCCGATTATTATGTGTTATTGGTTTATAAATTCATCCAAGAAGATGTTAGAATTGTACAGTTTGGTAGTACTGGAATTTTGAAATAAGTTTATGATATGATATCGAAATCAGGAAATTGATTTCTTGAGTTTTTGTCGCTGCAACACTTGCGCAAGTAGTGCAATTGTGACACTTTCATTTACTGCTTGTGGTACCAAATTCTTTTCCAGCATTTCATGTTCTTGCTTCCTAAGCAGGCCACTGAATTGCATTTTCTTGAGTACCTGCACAAAAAGAGTACATTGATTATATCTTGTAATTTATGGCAAATATTCTGCGGCAATTAAGACATCTTTAAAATGATCAGTCTTTGTCTATCAGTTATCTGTCATCTTAATAAATATAAATAAATAAATGGATTTGGCAGATTGTGTGAAAGGCTGCCATCTTAATACGGATAAAGTTTGAAATTTTAGTTCTCAAAAAAAAAAAAAAGACTTTTTCGAGGAGTTCTTTATCCATTGGTAAATCACAAACTGCTTTCCTCAAATTTGCAGCAATTTCTTTTTCTGTCATTGATATATCTTCGTCCAACAACTTATTAAACGCTTCCTAAATTAATAAGCAGACTAGATCAAACATTACAGACTCGAATTCCTTGAATTTTCTTAAAAACCAACATTTACTATATATGATATTAGCATATTTTATTTAAAATATCCGAAACAATATGAATAAATTCTTTCATTCCTAATCAAAAACTGATTACTGTTTTCTGTTCATCTATCCCATAAATCTCGAGAATAGTTCGAATCTGTACAAGTCCATCAACATATGATCGCTCCTGTGACTTATTTGCTTCATTATCTTCTGTTTCAGGGCTAAAATTTAATTTAACTCCCAACGGAGAAGTTTTTGCACATGCATAGTAGGAAAATAAAGTTTCTTCTGTTGCTTTCTTAATGGAAGAAGCTAGCAGTTTAAAATAAAATGCGATGTGCATCTGAGAAATTTAAAAAAAAAATTTATTACTGGCGGTTGAGGTTTCAATAAAACGTATTTTCATGTAGCATCGTAATTGTTATACACTGAATGCATGCGATTTTGTTAAAGTTAAAGCATTGAAAGATAACATGTTTTCAATTCAAAAATATGAAAAATTTCGGGATAATTATTTAAGAGAACTAATTTGTTCAAGAAAAGGAATGTACTTCATATAAACAGGAGATCCGGTCATTGTCGCTTTTCTGCTATCTACCACTTGTTCGGACTCCTGAATACTTAGAAGTAAAATGAATTAGGCTTATATTCTAGAAACAGTTTTCAGCCACAAGCTGTTTTTTCAAATCAAATTGTAGACGCTTAGATTGAAAAAAAAAAAAAAAAAAAACAAAAGTAATCATACTTGTTTAAATTTCATTTTCCTCTCTAACTCTTCATCAGGAGTCCTGAAACGTCCTAGTTAATTCAACAATTATTTTTCGAATAATGAGTAATAATTCTAATGATTTCCTGAATTCGTGGTACCATACCTGGAATTTGCATCTTGATCACTACAACTTATTGAAGCACTTGTTGAGGACAGGACCACATTTGATGGGCTACTCTCACCCATCACTTTTTTCTCCTTGATTTTATTCGACATCACCGTTACTGCTGGTTCCTCTGACGATTCTGATTAGGTTTAAATTGTTACTTTTCAGTCTATTTTGTTGCCTACAACCGTTGTTACTGTTAACTCCTTTACAGCTGTTGTAATTTCTAATTTAGACAATGATATCATCATACCTCGTCTCTGAGCAGCATCATTATTTGACTCTTCGATTTTCTTCATTCCATGTGAAATTCGTTTCGGCGTTGTCATATCATTTACTTTATGCTTTTTCTGAATGAAAACATATGTGATTTCCCTTTTTATATCTATGCATCATTTTCAGGTATCGCTGCTGAGTTTTATTTTAACGTTATGCTTTTTGGACTTAACGTCCATTTTTATTCTAACCATTTTCTGTTGTGATTGTTTCTCGATTGCTGCCATTTGTTCTTTTTCCTCACCAGTGGGACTGTCTTTTTGATCGGTTTGTTGGATATTATCGTCAGATTGTTCTTTTTCTGTAAGTGACACAGCAGTTACAAGGAATTGAAATATTCGATTTCACCGGAGAAGAAACCGTTATATCTGGAGGGGTTGAAATGTCCGTTACTGGTGTTATTGGCGAAGTGAATGAAGTCAAATTGTTACCTGATAATGCTGCAAAGATAGAAATGGATCTCTTTGTAACTTCCGATGATTTGTCCTCTCTTCTCTGATCTTCTTGAGTCTCCCTTTCACGCTTTCTCTTTCCCATCTTTCTCCTGGAGCTTAATTTTTCCTGAGTTTCCATTTCTTTGTTCTCCTTTTCACTTCCTGATTTCAAGATTTCATCCACTCGTTTCATTTTTTTATGAAAATTAAGTTTCTCATTACTTTTAGATTTTCTTATGCCTCTTCCTCTCATTTTTTCCTTCTCTTCCTCCAATTTAATTTTCTTATTATTAATTTCATTTTCATCCTTTCCTTTATGAATATGATGACTTTTCACTTTTTTTGCTTTACGCTTCTTTATTTTACACTGCTCACGCATACTTTTCGAAGTATTTTTGCCTTTTTTGGCTTTCTTCTTATTTCTAATTCTTTCAGATTCATAAAGATCTCCAGAAAGCTTCTTTGTTTTTCTTTCTTTACTTTTAATCTTTTTTCTCTTTTTTTTTTTTGCTGATTCGCTGATACTTTCTGATTGTTTTCCAGATATACTTCTGTCTTTTTCCTTCAGAACCACATCCCTCATTCTGATCTTCTGCGACGACTTTCGACATTTAACAGAAGATTTTAAATCCCTACCTTTTTTCCCACATAATTTTTTCGCCTTCTTTTTCTTTTCCTTCTTTTCTGATCCAGTGATACTTTCCGAATCTGTGCCGGAACCGTTTAAGCTCTTCTCTTTCACAGTCGTTCTTTTTGCTTTATTTGCGCCCGAAGTTTTTTCAGTTTTTGCTAATTCCTTTTCTGACTTTTTCTTCTTTGTTCTATCTTTTCTTAATTTATTGACTCTTTTTGAATCTTTCACTGAACTACTTTTAGAATTCAACTCAACAAGTTTTTTTATGCCTTGCTTAAATGTATTTGCTACTTCCGTTTTCGTTGTCTTATCGATTGCTGGATCTGGTTTTTCATCAATCCCTTCCGCTATTTCTGAATCGATTGATTTCTCCTTAATGCCTAAAAATTAAAAAAAAAAAAGAAATCATAATTGTTGACATCATTATATTTAAGATAGCCTGAAAAAGTTGAGTAATTCACAATGGAAATCCTAGTTTGAGGAGCAGACGGTTTGCAGTTCATATAAATGCTATCTAATTCGCAAAGTTAAATACGATATCAAAGCTCCATAATTGTTTCATATCCTCGGATACAAAACTACTATAAATGCATTGGATACACTAAAGAATACAGTGTTTAATAAGGAGATGAAATTCTACACATTTGTTTCCCTTCACAACCTGTTCCATGATGCCTTTTGTTGTGTTTCTGTTTTGGATCATTTCTTGTTGAACTAGCATCTGTTTTATTTTTTTTCTTCCTGATCAAATTACCACTTATATTTTTCGATTTGCTGTGCTTTGTTTCAGGTTCGTGAGGAGATTCTTCTGAATGATTATTTGTTGTAGGTAACTCTGACTTCCCGTTTGACTCTGACTTCCCGTTTGTTGTCATTTGATCCGGTGGAACCTTGTTCCTGCTTTTGTCTACATCTAGAATTCCTTCTTGTTTCACTTCTGCCTTCTTCACATCTTTAAGTTTTTTCCATGTTTCATATTTTCTGTTCCCGGAGCTTTTATAATTATAGTTCAGATTACGGTGTTTCCTTTTCTGTCTTTTACGCTTCTTATCTGCATCTACAGAGATCCTAGAAACTAAAGAATCTTCATATATGGGTGCAAAATTGCAAAATTGATGTTGAGATCAAATATTATGAGAACAAGATACACATTTAACTGCAACCCTAAGAAAATACGCAATTTTTCAAGCAATAATACCATCCTTTTAATTTTAATTATGCAAGCATGATTCTGAATATGTTGAGCAGAATCATGTGACTGTTTTAGAAGCTACTGTATGGTCCAGTTGACAGTGGATCATATTTCAACGTCACTCAATTCATTACACTTTTTGATTGCACAGTAACATAACCGTTGACAACAGCGGTTGAAAAAAGTCACCTCAAGAGCTTCAATTTCATAGACTATTGGCCATTTCATGATGCACTATGAAGACGCAAAAAACTGTGATTAGAAGTATTGTAATAGAAAGTGCACTGTTATCAGAGAGAGAGAGAGAGAGAGAGAGAGACTGCATGTATTCGTACAGTTTTGTCTAGCTTGCTTGAAATTCGAACTGACTAGTTTGCTATTTTAGATAGCAGTCACTCTTAATATCAAATACCTCTTCGATTCATCACTTTTGTATTTGTTAGTCGGTCTCGTTATTCTTGTTACATTCTTTAGTGACGAAGCGTTTTTTGGTGAGAAATTGATATCTTTTGAATCCATTTACGATATAATCTGTGACTACAAATTCAAATATTCTTGATAGATTGAAATACAAAAAAGCACGGAAAATTTAATGGCATAGAAAACCTAATGTGGGATCTACTTGTTTTTTTTAACCTGAGCAACGAAGCATGTAAACAGATTTAGACTGACATTTCGATCCTCTTTTAATGAAATCTCACTTCACTATGTAAATCCCAAATGTATGTCATAAATCCAGAAATTCACAAACCTGTTTAGTGCTCAAGAACCGTAATTTCATTAATGAATGAGGTAAACGAAATAAGAATGAGCCGTAACACCGGCCGTTCATCAGATTGCTTAATTACAAATTAATGGAGAATCTAATATTTCCTGCCTTTATTGCTGAAAAAATGGCCAACAATTTGCTCTAACACCGGATAAAATATGACTGCATCTCCACGCAAAACAACTAGCAGATGGATTCTCAGCTGCTTCAGTCTTAATGTTGAAGTAATTTGAAAAACTTTTAACATTAGCTAGAACGATTAAACACTTCAATAGACGATGCTGGAATATTAATTTCAAAGTTTGAGAAAGTTTACAATTCTGTCACTGGTTCACAAATATCTTGCAAACTAATTAGATCCATGAATATCACTAACTGTGAGTAATGTCAGATAGAATTTAGTAACTTCAAACAAACTGTTTTATGCTCACATAAGCAACACTGATTCTAGAACATTTTTGCACACAAATTCCTGTCCATTGGGAAAATTGTCCACCAATACAAGTTTTTTTTTCTACGAGATTACAACCTCAAAATTTAAACATTATCTAAAAAGCTTTCGACTAGAAAGTTTTATGCGAAATATAAGCAGTTCATTTGGCAGATATTAAAATAACCACAAGATTTTAAGCAATAAGTTTTGGAGCAAACTACTTCAATTGCAGGAGCACATATAAATGCATTCGAACTGTTAACGAAAGTTTCCAATCAGTCAACGTTCGACCGATCTCCTAGCTTTACCAGACACTTAAAGCAGTGAAATAAACAAAACGCAGGCAAAAATAATACGTAAAGTGAATAAAAAAAAATGAAAGCATCAGTCGGAACATATATACAATGGACGATTACCCAAACCCCACTCATTGGCACACAATTTCACATTTGAATTATACAATTAGTTTTCCAACAGTGCGAGTTTCGAGAAGATTCTACCTGAAAATCCTACCATTTCCCATCACAGTTTGATTAAACTCTGCTGACAGATTACCTTTATATGAAAAGGGGTCATAAATGCTACTTTGTCAAAGATGACGCAGAATAGCAGATCACCATTTGATATAAATACTTTCCAAACAATAGCAATATTCGGAAATTTTTTATATAAAAGAAGCTGTATCTACTGTATTTTCACCGGTATGAAACAAGAGATCTGTATTGTAAAGAATGTGCAGTAAAGGACTTTCTATTAAATAATAACTGGAGTAAGCATAAAGAAACATTTCACAAAATCTTGAGAAGGTTGGAAAAAACAAGAAGTTTTTTAAAGAAAAAAAAGTGCTGTTTCGCAAATCCTATTGTTAACCTTACCTACGACGACTCCTGGTATTTGTGATTTATAATTTATACATTCATCTCAATTGCTTAACAAAATAGGAAACATTACATTTGATAATTTCAAAAACTGAAGAGGAGTGGAATACATGAATACATATCGAAAGATCAACATTGCATTTGATAGATCTTGCACCGTTTTTAAGATAATTCACTCAGAATGTCTTCCTATGTAGCACTTTCTTCCCTTCGTCTTCATATTCCTTTTTGCTAACCCACATCTTCTTGAAAGTATCAAGACTGGCTAGAATTGAACCTCCTATCCATGTACCGTACAACCGCTCCTGCGGTGCAGATATCCGAATCTTCACGTCTTTTGGTGCCAAACGACGCGTCTGTAATCAACGAGATTTTTATTCCAAGAATTTCACTAAAAAGAAAAATTAATCCTGCTGAACAAAATACTGATGAATGAAGTAGTACATGCTTGGCAAAACTTACTTCAGCTAATAATCGATCCCCAAATCCAGCGAACATGGTTGATCCACCACTTAATACAATATTACTATACAGATTTTTCCGCAGATCTATTTCACAACGCTGAAAAAAAAAAAGAAAAAAGGATTTTATATTCAGTAAAATGAAATAAAGATTTCCTTCTAAACACTGCAATATTCAATCTCTTTCATCCTGTTTGTCTAACATTTGGTATAAATCGAGCAGTAAACTTAGAGCTACCCAAGAAATTTTCTGAAGACAAACTACTATTAACTAAAATTTCAAAGTTTAGAAATAAAATATAACCTTGATCTCTTATTACGTTCATTTACGATTACTGCGATGCAACTATACTGCATTCAAAAAAAAAAAAAGAAAATAGTATAAGGCGTGAAATCACTGCTAAGGTATATTCGAAAAAAGCTACCGATTTCTAAATTTCATGAGTTCTTATATTTTCCTTCATTTTCAAGATAGTTATTTCACTTCATTAAAGGCAGTAGCATTACTCAAATTACAAACTTAACACTGTATAACATTGAAGAATTGATACAAAAATTAACGATTATGTTGAAGCGCATACTCTAATGGACAAATCGAGAGCATTTGCAATGCCTGGCCATTCCTCGCCAATAATGTCTGGCCGAAACAGTATCTCAGCAGCACGAAATCTTGCTGGTCCAATTTCAAGTGTCGAACCATCGGGCAGTTTATAAGCGGTCTGAATTAGGAAAACACTGAAGTCGCTAAATGATTAATCCAGTGTTGCAAAAACCATACTTAAAGATAACTATCCTAACAACTACTAGAATAATAGGCAAAATGAAACGTACTTTCTCGCTTTCGCTACTTTCTTCTTTTGCAGCATTTGTAGCAATGTAACACATTTTTTCCTTAATTTCCCGTACAATTTCAAATTCTGATGAACGATGAAAGTTAGCTCCTTCTTTGCGAAGTAAGAGACGAAGATATCTGGTCACGTCTCGTCCTGCGACATCCATTCTCTCAATTCTAGATTTTACATACTTACCCTTAGAACGTTAGAAATAAGACATTACTGAAGATAATAAAAAACGATTACCAATAATATTAAGAATAGTTTAACGAGAAGTCACAGTCATAGATAAGATTAAGTTTATTTTAGGATGTTATTATTAAGATTATTTCAGGATATATCATATTATTAAGCCTTATTTCAGTTCAGGATGTTAGAATACGTTACAGTACACTTCAAAGTTCTTTCTTTAAAAAGGATACTATAAAAACTACAAAAGTACTATGACTTGTGTAAGCGACTTAATCGCATATTCCACTATCTGTTTCTCAACTCATGACACAAATCGCTTTAATATATTTGCTAGTTGATCCGCTGAGAAAAGAGAACTATTGAAGCTCTACAGAATAAATCGAAAACTGATCCAGAAAAAACAAACCCGTGCTGTATAGCAAAACCCTCAAAGATAGGTACAACATGTGTAACACCATCTCCTGAGTCTAAAACGACACCTGTTGTACGACCTGTTGAATAAAGCGAAAGCACAGCTTGCATTTGGATGTGCAGTGCAGGTATATTAAAAGTTTCGAAGAAAATTTCAGCTGATTTTTCTCGGTTTTTAAGTGGATTAAGAGGTGCTTCTGTAAGCAACACTGGATGTTCTTCTGGGAATATCTGAAATTGTAAAAGCACTGTGAACATGACCAACCAGATTCACCAACAAAACAGCGCTTTGTTCAGAACAAAGAAGGACAATGTAAAGATTGAAATATGAAAAATTAACATACCTGCAACTGATCTTTACTATAAATATACTGCCATACGCGTTCCATGTCATTCCAATCCGTTACTATGCCATGCTCCATTGGATATTTCAACGACAGCAGTCCTCGATACTCTTGTGCTTTCGGACCTAAATGAGTTTTACAAAAATTGGAGAAAGCAAGAGCTAACAGCAAAAAGCAAATCTGCAAACCGTTGACAGTAAAACTGACCATAAGCGGCAGCAATTATATTTTATATAAGAAAACGAAAAAAATTTACCTATGAACAAGTCACCCTCCAGAGCACCAGCCATTACTCTTGTATGCTTTGGTCGTCCAACAAAATTAGCAAAACGACACTTTGGCGTCTGGTCACCAGCAAACCCAGCCTTTATTACCCCAGACCCATTATCGATAACAACTGGTTGATTTGCTATTACATCATAGGAATCCATGGCTTAACCTGCCGAAAGACTTTGGAATATTAAATATTAGCAAACAAATTTTCTTTCTCACACGTTTAATTGATAAAACGACCAAATAAGCTAGATTTCATATACCAACGACATTCAGAGTTATCATGACATTTAAGTGAAGTCAAATATATAATATCAATACTGCATTTCAACTCTCTTCTGGCAGAACAGTTTGACTGTGAGAAAACTTTAAATCCAACTAAGTCACTTCTTTAACTGTCTACTTGTTAAAATAATGCACATATGGTTATCGACATTAGTACGGTAAAATACAAAACGATTATTTTCCTCTGTTTTTGAACACTGGATAAAAGGTATATAAACACAAATGGTTGAGAGCTATAGCTCTAATTAGTTGTACAATGTTGTAATCAATGTTAACAAAATTTATTCCGTAGCAAGTGGTAAAAATCAAAACAATTCGATAACAGTCTTTCATTTAGTCAAAACAGGACAAAAGAATATATTGCGGTTTTATTAACCTCCTTTCTTCTTCGACACACCAACAGTGCGACCTTTTCTACCTGTTGTCTTAGTGTGCTGTCCGCGTACACGAAGTCCCCAATAGTGTCGAAGCCCTTAAAATATCATGACAATTAAATCAGATAAAAAAATCTTCAAACCAATGACAATCCCCTTATAAGATTTGTAAAGTCGCCAATTTTCACTGCCATCAATTCATTTCATGAAGAGACATGTTGGTATACTAAATAGACTTAAGCTAAAATCTGTTTAACCAAAGAACTACGCGTCTTATTTCAAAGAATGACTATGTTTTTCTTCAAGGCTAACAAACCTTGACATGATCTCAACCTCCAAAGAAAATCACCTTTCTTTTTCTACATGTAATTGTCTCAACAAACAGATGATCTGATAAATATATCTGTACCTCTGTGCAGACGAATTTTCTTCAGTCTTTCTAAATCTTCACGAAGCTTATTATCAAGCGATGTAGACAACATCTGAAAACAAGCATGAAATTTGTCAGAAAACACACTTAATAAAGAAATAGCCACAGCCTGTAATTTTTTTTTTAAACCCTCAATTTTAAAAATTGAAAAGTAGCGGCAACCTGAGAATACTTCCCATCCTTGATATCCTTCTGCCTGTTCAGAAACCAATTCGGGATTTTATATTGGCTGGGATTTTGCATTACTTGTTGCAATTTCTCCAGATCTTCTTCCGATAGTTCGCCAGCACGTCGATTAATATCAATATCAGCTTTTCGGCAAACAACAAATGCAAAACGTCTGCCGACACCCTAAAGCCACCACATTTTATGCAAGTCACAACACATATCATTTCATGCAAGTTTAAACGAAGATTGTTTACCGAAGTCGTCAACGTATCTGACGGTCTTATACATTGCCCTATGACAGCTATTCGATCAAGCCAGAAACAAACTTGTAAACAAATCCACAATAAAATTTACCTTAATAGCAGTGAGTGCGAATGGTACTTTCCTGTTGCCATCGATATTCGTGTTCATAACACGATGAATATGTTGAAACTTCTCCGGTATTATTAACGACATCCTGCACCTTTCTCTTCCGTTCCTGCAACACAGTAGCAATCATTAGCATCACATCACATCTCGAGAAGAACAAAACCAACTTCCACCATCACCAACTCATCCCACAAATTCCTACGGTTTGTAAACCATTGCTTTACAAAATATCCAGCTACCACCTTAAATCACAACGACGACTCTACGGTGAAAACATTCGTACCACCAATTACTGGGCTGATATGCACAAACGACTGTTGGAGAAAGTCTGTAGTTGAAGGGTGAATTATTGGTTTGTAATTAAATTTACTACACTCTATGGTGCTGAAGTTTCTTTTTTAAATGAGATAACATCTCAATGTCAAAAGACAACAACTCAACAAGTTGCATTACATCAACCAACAAACAAGTAACTTTACCGAAGTCTGAGAAATACTGGATTCATATGTTTGCCAGAACGAGAAAAAAGGTCCTACTCACATGGAGGGAATATCTCGATATTTAGAAAAATAACAAACTTGTCAGAGCACCATCACCACACCTGCAATTACTGCTCATGTTAATGTGTGGACAATACCTGACACTGTTCTTGCTGTGAAATTTGACATCCTCAACCTTCTTACACTTGCGTCATGTCCCTTGAAACTGTGGCCGTTAGATAGTTGCGCGGGTAAGAGAAGTTGTAAAGGATGTGCTCCATGAATTCATGCAAATAAGTGGATTAACACTGAACATAAAAAATGACTATTGTCTGGTGTAAGACGACCGAATCAGATGAACATCACGTAATTTCGCGTATGATCTAGTAACTGAAATTCATTTGAAAATGATGAGAAGTTAATTTCAGGTGATGATCCAGCTTTTGTGGTTTACAGCAATTTTCACAACAGTTTCAGCGATATACGAAGATCAAATTGGCAAATTCGACTGGTTAGATTCGTAAATAATGGGTTGTCTTGAGGGTCCACTTTTTGCCTTCTAGCTTTGACTTATGTGTTGAATAAGTAAGCATTATTTTCTGGCTTGAAGAGTTTTCGAAAACTAAAAAAAAATTCTGAAGTAGCTGTAATTCAGGCATAGTGAATATGTCGGTTGTGCTCGGGAGCTGTATATGGAACAGCTGAAGGGTACGAAATTACCACATATTTTCGTTTCAACGGAAGCCGATATGATCGCATCATTGAAAGCATCGACTGGACAGATAGGTAATGTTTTATACATTATTCATTGACGATGGAAATGCTGGGATGTAGGAATTTAGCTCTGACTTTTTGTAACTTCTTGCAATGAAAGCTTTTTGGAGACAGTGAATGTAGTGCAGTTCTATGATATTGGCAAGTATAATGGATGGTGATGTTGATAAGAGAGAATGCATATACATTTCTTGAAATATATGATAACAGTAGGTAAACGTGTGGGCAGGAAGGGATATCGATAAATACAGAACAGTAAGTGTTTTTTCATCCTCTAATTGTTGAATTGTTACAGCTTGGAGACAACAGCTGGAACATTCATCTACGCTTCAATTGTCATTCTCATCAGCTGCATGTAATTTTTCATATTTACTATGGTATTTCAAACTTTGTTAAGTATTTAATTGCGTTTCGTTTTTAGATATTTTCGACACCTTTTTTACCAAAAGTAATTTTCAGCATTAATAATAGTAACAAAAGATAATGGAGTGGTGCGAGCATGGAATCGAGACAGCGGAGTTTTGGTATGGGAAACTCAAATTCAGCAAATTACACCTAGGTAATAAACGACTGAACAAAATATGAAACGACATAAACGTTCAGAAAATGAGAGTGATTTTCTAAAATGTTGGTATTGAGAATATTTAACATTTTAGCTTCGCTGTAAGGTGTGCCAGGGAAGAAATATTCTAAAAGCTAAAAGGTAGGGAAGAACAGCATATAACAAACATTTTTTATAGCTGGAAGAAGACGGAAACATTAATATCAAATGGAAACGTATTCATCTTGAGAGGTGCTCACATAACTGCACTTTTTCTTGGTAGTGGTCAGCTAAAGTGGGCAACGAGTTCAGGCAACATAAAGTAGGTATTAATGCCTAATTTCAGTTTCAATGTTTTGGCTTGTTTGATTCAAAATGATTCAGAACGCTTTTCGCTATTAGTTTCGAATAAATATACCTAAGTTACAGAGTTTCATTTAAAACCATTTTGAAATTCTTTTCATATCTACATAAGGTTGGTCATTAAATTGCCCCATTACCTTTTGAGTACTTTTCAAATTATAGATAGCATAATAATGGGATATTCTAGGAGCTACATTGGTTCAATACTAGAACCACAGTCACAGACACTTACTGTAGTTGGAGGTGTGGATGGAGCAGAACTAGCAGTTATTCAGATTGATGTAAGGAATGGTGCTATTGTAAAAGTCCGAAATCTCAGTGCAAGCTGGTTCAATCAGGAAAGGTAAACAATGGTTAAAAAATTTTTTTATTATCGAAAACTCATTGAGTTGTTCAAAAGTAGGTTAAAATGGAATACCAGTTTAAAATATCGATAAATGACACCAAATATAATTTAGTGAAAACACACAGATATGTTAAAAATGTACCTTTCTAGTCAGTGAAAAGATCACATTTTTCTCAACTAAGAAATCATTAGGAATGAACTCATAAATCATTCATATCGCAGCAGAAGTTCTTTTCAGATGCGTTTTGTCTAATATGTTGTTACAATGTTTTGATAACAAAGGCTTCTATGTTACCGATTTATCGTTGGATCCCCTTAGCGTGCATCACACTTCGCTTCAATCTGTAGTTCAAATTCCCAATTTAAACATAGGAGGAGTAATGATTGTATACACTCTCACGAATACTTATGTTTATCATATTAATTTGCCAGAACCACCAGTGCTGCTTTTAAAACTGGAGAAGGTAAATATTCCAAATTTATTTTAAGAGGAAAGAACAATTTGATACTAAATATACGAATTATTACCTCAATCATCTTGAACTTTAGTGAAATTCATTGTTATTTTCAGGTTGAAGCAGCTTCTTCACATGTGACTACTAATGGACAAAGCCTTTTCGCTGTTGCAACATCCACAAATAACATTGTCGTTTATGATGCTGCGAATGGGGAGCAGCTATTCACGGGAAGTATTCCAGAAAAAGATCCAGCTCCCATAAAACTCTTTTCTTTTATCGGAACATCAATAGAATTCGAATTTGCCGTTGTTCTTGAAGATTGTAGATTTATTTATCTTGTTGGCTCATCAAACCAACTTACAAAAGAATGGGTCAGACATGAAGCGTTAAGTACCATCACTTCAGTCGAAATGATCGATTTACCTTTGTCCGAAGCACAAGCTGATATCGAGTCGGAATTTGCTTCGGATGGTGGTTTGTTTAATTTGAATTTGTTTAGTGAGGTGTTCAGTTTCCATTCTTTTTTCTTATATTTGTTAAAGTTTCCCAAAAAGCTGGAAATTTTTTCTAAAAATTTTATCGGAAGTTCTTTAGTTTTCAGTCTTAATTTGCTTGACACATTAGTTTTGTAAATTAATTTGCTAGGTTACAAGTTGCTCTTTTTAACAGCTTCTTGTCTTTATCTTTACATAAAATAGGAAACTAAAAAACCAAGTATCTTGCTTCAGTGCCTCATCTTATTAAGACGTGAAATGAAGTTATCCTCATATTGAAGCTTTCTTTATTATATGATAGTCAAGCTGTTCCGATGAAAATTCTGAAAAGTTCAGAACCTAAATTTTACTTGTCTTCTGCAGGTACCATAATGGAGTCATTAATGCGGCGTCTAAGGAGTCAGGTAGACCAGTTTCGTCGTGCTTGTATTGGTGCCATAAATCAGATTTTTTCATCAAATTTTTTATCATTTCGTTCAAAATCATTTGCTGATTGGATAGCTTCTCTTCGATTCTCCACTAAAAGCACGCGTAAAAAGGACCTGCCGTGTGAGCGGGACTATTTTAATTTGCGAAAGATTATTGTGGCTTCAACACTGAAATCTATTGTTTACGGTGAATGTTGTTTAACTGCGATCAATTGCATCACAAGGGAAAAGAAAAAAGAAAAAAGAAAAAAAAAAAAAAAACATAACAAGGCGCATCACTCGTCACTTCCTTATTATCTTTATTCAGTACCTAGTTACTTATCAGTAGAGAAGTCTTTGTTGCAGGTATTGATAGTAGTGACGGAACAATTTTGTGGTATATTTATTTGGGCAGAAATATTAAGCCATTACTTGGCTCATTGGGAAAGGAAAAAATTCCTCTCTTTATACAACGTACCACAGCTCATTATCATTTTTATCCACAAGCTACCGTTGTTGCTAGTGATAAGGTCGGATTTTACCAATGATTTTATAATTTAAATGTTCTTTATTCAGTTAAATGAGTGATAGCGTAGAAACCATCGCGTTTTTTTTTTTTTTTCTTTTTAATTTAATTTTCATATTTCAGTTGGACAAAAATTTGTTTTGCATAAGATTTATTGTGTTTCAGAGATCAGAACACGCAGTTTTGATATCTTTTAATCCCATGACGGGGTCTTTAATTGAACGGAAAAACTTCTTCACTTCCATCAAGCGTATTGAAATTCTTCCATACTCGAATGCTCAGACACACATTTATCACCTCATCATGCTTGACGATAGAAACAAAGTATGTTTTATTTGTGCGTGAATTAAACTGTTCGAATTGTTTTATGTTTTATTATAAAAATCATGACTTTATGGAACTCGAATAAATTTTGGATCCAGTCTTATTTCCCTAGTTATTTCAGGTCATGTTGTATCCGGAAAATATGGATGCACAGGAACAGCAAGTTCCGCTGCATTTCTTCAACTTTAATGTTTCTGGTAATTTAGAAGGTCTTGTCTTGAATGTTTCTCGTAAAAAACTTTCATCAACTTGGAAAGTGAATCTTTCTTTAAGAAATGAACAAAGGATTGTAGCCGTTGTTTCCAAACCATCTTACCGTGAGTTATTTCACTTTTTTGCATCTAAATTAAATCTTATGTATTTAGAAACTAAATCTTATGAATAATCTTTTTTAGTATTGATTGTCACATTTACAGAGAAAGTTCACAGTGCTGGAAGAGTATTGGGTAACCGTTCAGTATTATATAAATATGCAAATCCAAACCTGGTTGCTATTGCAGTACTTGATTCCACTCATTCGGTTTTACAAATTTATCTTATTGATGCGGTCTCAGGTTACATCGTATACAGTGGTAAACAAAATAAAGTAAATATATTTAAATCTTTTAAAATAGATTTCTGCATTTATGTTTACCAAATACAAAGTCAATTACCAAAAAATACAAAGTTTGCAGTATTTGGTACTTCCACTGCAAATGATTTTGTTAAGAAATAAAGAATTTCAGAAGAATAAAAAATTTTAAAGTCTTCATCACATACGCTGTAGTTTGTATTCTAATGAAATGGAAGAATTTTTTAATTTTGCAGCAGTCACTAGGTGTACTGCAATGAAGCCATCATCACATAAACGTAAAGCTGTAAAATAAAAGTTTTACAGATAACTGGTCCAATTCATTTGGTCCATTGTGAAAATTGGCTAGCTTATTCATATTGGAGCGAGAAAGGTCGTCGTGTGGAAGTAGCTGTAGTAGAGTTGTATGAAGGTCTTGAACAGACTGATGCCTTTCATTATAATTCACTTGTGCATACTTTAGCAGCAAAAGTTACAGCTCTTTCTCAAGCTTATATATTTCCTCAGGGGGTGGCAGCATTGGGCGTTACAGAAACTGGTTAGTGGTTTTATGAATTTTGCCAATTTCGTATTTTTTTAATCAAATTTTTAAGAACTAAAGTCAAAATTTTAATGTAACTTTTATATGAATTAATTTGTTCTTATAATTTAGAGCTAGGATTGTCAACAAGATCCTTATTGGTAGCAATGCCATTTGGTGCTATATATGTAATTTCTAAGCGTCTGTTGGATGCTCGTCGTCCATTGGAAATGACGCAAGAACTAGCCGAAGAAATGCTTCTTCCATATCGACCAGAATTACCAATTGCTTCTGAAGATTTCATCAATTATAATCAAAGTATACACGGTATTCGCGGCTTTAAAACCTCGTAAGTTATTTCTCATGCAACATAATCTCCCAACTAGTGATCGAAAGTTATACGTTCGTGACAGGATTTGTCAAACTGTTTTACTGTTTCATTGTTTTACTTGTTTCAGCTCGATTAAATAGTTCTTGGCATTTCGTGTAGAAAAGAAATAAAATGTTTTGAATGTGAAATTTTGAATCATGTATACTCTTTTCCTTATGATATCCTAACTTCTATTAAGTTTCTCTGATATTGGCTTGACCTGACCAACTGCATCATTAAGATGGTATGTATCAAAATTTTCAGTGTAACTCAATCTTCATTAATTTCAGACCTTCTGGTTTGGAATCAACAAGTTTAATGCTGGCTTATGGTACTGATCTCTTTTTTACTCAACTGACTCCATCTGGAACTTTTGACATATTAAAGGATGATTTTGATCACTTGCTTATCAGTATTGTCCTATTAACTTTAGTAATTGGAAGTTTGCTTTGCAAAAGATTAGGCAAAAACAATAGTCTGAAGCAGGCTTGGCAGTGATGGCTGCTTTATTACTTTATGTGGTGCATGAATCAAATTTCAAATTACATTCTTGGAATGAGAAATGAAGATTTTCAAACGCAGAATAAGAAATTTTCTTTCTAAAAAGAGCTGCAAATACTATAATTGGCTCCCCACTTCTCATTTACGTTGCTAGTTATTAATTTTTTATTTTATTTCTTTCACTGAGTCTTTATTTTTTTGTTTAATGATTTTATCAAGACAAGTTTTTTATCAAGATTTTATCCTATTCTCGCTACCACTTCATTCCTTTACAAAGTTGGATTCTTATCAAAGATTAAATCTCTTGAAGTATGGGATTGAATAATTTTGGCATTCTGTAATTCTTTCTAGTTTTTTCAGTAAAAAAGTTAACTGGGAAATATTTGCTGGTCACACAATCTGATAATTATATCTCACTGTAATGCGGGTACACATTGTATAATTATATGTTGTTGTTGATGCAGCAGGCTATGTCATCTTACATTCTTGATATTGTCAACTACCAAGTTTTATTCTGTTCTTTGATGGTATATTCTATGACGATAGAATTTTTTGTATTTATTTCGATGTTCAAAAGTAATAAATTACCTCGAGTAATATAACAACATATAGTAGTTAAGAAGACACCTAGGATTATAATCGGTGAAAGTCAAGCTTTCCCATTTTTACCACATCATGCCTTGGATCAGATAGATAGCATTGTATCACTAGATAATCTAATGATTCTGCTGATCCTTTTGTTTGCATTGCACTATTAGGTTTTCTCAGTTTTGGTTTAGTTACTTTTCTGCAATTTGATATTTGTCAAGTTTTGTGGAATAAGCACATTTCAAGAAAATCATAATTCGTTTCCCCCAAACCCTTTTATTTCGCTTATTAGACTGTTACGTATTCATTTAATTATAAAATGGGAAACTTTTAATTAATATAAAAAGTTCAACAGTTCATTTGGTAGGACTCTGGAATTTCAAGGATTCAAATAAGTTAAATTTCTGCTTCTGCAAGAATGCAATAACTACATTAATGATAACAAGATCATGGGAGTATGAAGTTGTAAGATGGTTTTTAAATCATCTTTAATATCAGTAGTTCATCATCATATACGAACCAAGCAAATTGAAGTTAGACGTAATAGCTCTGGATTTTAGTTTCTACTTTGAAAGAATTTATTATTTTGTTTTAATTTTTGAGCAGAGAAAAGGAAAAACAGCGGTTCTTATCAAAACGATAAATTAAGTGTCGAATAGAATGAGACATAATCTGTTTACAAGCAACGAATGTAAGTAGAAATGAGATGTTCGCTAATTGAATGCAAACTTTCTTCAAAATTGATATTTGTTTACAATTGAAGGAACGAAGAAAATGAAGATTTGTTGATTATAATGCATTGCAGATTAGTTTGATTTTATAGAAAATTGAGAATATTGCAAGTTAAGACGACATTTATTTATCATAGCAATTGATGTTGACTGATTTCGTTCACTATTTTTTATCAGTATTAATTATCATTAGTGAACAGCATTGACTATTAATGATAATAAGAAAATAAACATACATTTTAGACTATTGCTTTCCATAAACCACAAATCTTAGTGTTGGTTATCATTTTATCAGCATTTATAACTTCACTTTTCGCATAATCAGTATTCCTTCGTTACTATTTACGCCTGTTCAGGAGTCATATTGTCGGAGTATTTCGAATGACAATTTCGTGATAAAATTACAAGCGCTAATAAATAATATCAGTGTAAGCATTCTATCAAAAAATGAAAAATGGATGAGATAGATTTTTTTTCTTATCTACTCGATTTCTGTTGCATTTTTAGAACCATGCAAACTTTTAAAAAGTTTATCAATTATTTGAATTTATTCGGTTGTTTCTAAGCTTTTCTCCTATTATTATATAATCAGTAGGCATTTTATGTTTTTTGTTCTTTAATATATGATTTGTAGTTTTTTCAAACTTACTTACTATCATGTGAAATGATGGATCTTTCTTGCACAACAACTATATCACAGATATCGTTTCAATGTCTACGACAGTTAAAAAAATTTGATATGTTATGATTTTGATGTTTATATAATGACTGATCATCTAATTGCTTATTTATATCTCATAATTATATTTTGAATTTCATTTTTAAATAAACGTTATTTAGAAAAGTCAATTATGCTTGTCAGATTAGTGATAATTATTTCAATGGCGCAGCTTGCTGCAGCTACCAAATTCCCGAATGGTACCGACACCAAAATGAATTTTTTCAGCTGTGGCCCTAGTATGTTTAAACATTTAAAGATTTAGTAGTGAAAAATAGAGTTTGAGAGAGCGATCTATCCATCTACTACATTATTCTTCATTCCGGTTTCAAAAAGTTTAAGTCTACCTGTTTATCGTTTGACGGAACCATTCTTCATCCGCGGAATTGTTCATTCTTCATATGTTTTTTTTTTTTTTTTGAAAACAATTAGATCAAATAAAGAAAATAATTCTATAAAAGAACAAAGCGAAAGAGAAGAGAATAAATAGATTATTGCAACTGATGAGAAAAGAAATGTTGTCGATGTTAACAACTTTAATTTTAAAATTTGTTGGAGATTTCAAATAATTTTTGTGTTGACATTTCCAGTGAATACTATTGCCGTCTCATCCATAGAGCTGTTCGATCGAAATGGTTTGGCAATGTACCCGATTAGATTAGAAGATTTGGCAACTGTCAAATTGAAGTCTTACAATAATGGAAACATGGTGAAATTTTTTGTAACGTATTTCAAGAATTACTATTAACAAAACTTTTTATAAACTAAGTACTGCAAGTTATAATTCATTCATTACTATAATAAGCTTTCTTCCATTTAATATTTTTGTGGTCTTTTAAATAATCAAAATTCAGCAAATGCATATCCAAAAGAATTTAATTAATGATAAAAGTTTGAGCTACAGATTGAAAAAGATAAAGTGAATGTAGAAGTTTATGCTTATATGGAGAATGACGGGACATGGACGTGGAGAAATATCATTCCGGAGCCATTCCGATTTTTGTTGTAATTTTAAAATAATTTAGCATTGTTATATTTTTGTTTAGCATTGTTATATTGTTATAATTTAGCATTGTTATATTTTTGTTTAGCATTGTTATATATTTAGCATTGTTATATTGTTATAATTTAGCATTGTTATATTTTTGTTTAGCATTGTTATATTGTTATAATTTAGCATTGTTATATTTTTGTTGCATAATAATGGTCATTTTTTAATTAAAAATGAAATATTTTCTAAATTATTAAGGAAATCATTGCTATATTTCCAATTATTTTCCAATTGTGTACTTTTTGCAGATTTAATATCGATGGCTGTAAAATGGCTCATAACTGTCCACTAACAAAAGGCGATCTCGAATTAACACTGCCACTTAATCTCTACAAATATGCAATACTTTTTAAATTCATCGACAAAACTGTGAGTCTTTTTAGGTCTCAGTGATAAATTTTTATTCAGTAATATTATGTCTTAAATGTTTCAAAAACTGCATCAAAATTTTTTCATTTTTATTCATTAAAATATTTATTCTCTTCTAGATTATGCTATTCATATATCAGTTAAGAGAAATAATTTATTGTTTGGAGTTCAAAAAGCTTCTAATTTATATGTTACTTACCGCCAAAATATTACCTGCAAAAGTTTCGTATCAATTTTAAAAGCTGTAAGAAGTATGAAAAAGTTAGAAATCAAAATTTAAATATTTCAGTTAGCTCATCAATTTATCATCAAATTGTACGACGCTGGAAGTCGTCAAGAAGTTTCCTGTGAAATCATTCAGTTTAATCTTGTTTAAACGATACGAAAAATGAAAGCTCACATCTATAATTGAACAGTATTAAAAAAAAGATGAATTTAAAATTTTGCACAAAATTTAAAATTAGGTTTTACGCTTTCTGAAGTTTTTACACTTGAATATATCAATAAAGGAATACAAACAGATTTAAGCGTCGAAAACATTTAACATAAATTAGTGAATGTACTGTTATGAGAAATAATTTCAAAAATGAAAAGACAATCCATGAATCTAGTTTCAACCACTACAACCAACAAATTATACACGCAACAAGAGATACGTCAAGTCTCATGAAAATTCATTTACAAATTCTGTCAAATTTATAGAAATATTTAAATATTATCTTATAGACAGAGAGAGAAATGCAAATGTTAACAGCATTACATAAAAAAATTAATTGATATTGTTGCAATTATTTTAAACTATTAAGAGTTATTAAAGTTCATTCTTCGTGGCCTTAAATTTCTCAAATAAAAGCAGTCAATAAAAGAACTAGATTAAGCTATTAAGCTAATCGATGGTCATGAATCCAGTTTCAACCATGATATATTGACATGTACGTAATATTAATGAGAGAAGCAAACATAAGCCATTCATCAGGAATGTATATTTTTTATTTCCGGAAGCGATTTCCGGATTAGTCACAAGGCTAGTACTGCATATGTCTGTAGTCAATCATTCCTTTTTATTCACAACACAGAAAAGAAGAAATCTATGAGTTCGGGATCACCCGGGAGACGAGTAAAACTGAAAGCCATGAAACAACGGTCATTACACCATTTACTAAATCAGTAGTTCTTTTTAATCACAACACGACATAAGACAATCTTAAATATTACTCTTTACACATAAGTCCTGCCATTAATTACTTATTAATGCAATAGTTCTGATAACATTTGCACAATTGTTAGAGTGCTATAAAGACAAATTCAAGAAGTAATAACTGATATGATGAGAGTGTGATATTACATTAAGATGAGATATTACATTGCCATCATTAAAATTTTTGCACTAAGCTCTGCTGTCCGATATTCTCACCTATCCTTCATGACGAATTCCTAATGCAAAGTTTCATATGAAGAAGAATAACTGATATGATAAGAGTGTGATAACATGGTTGTTTCACGGCTTTCGATTAAGTCCATGTTCCATGCGATCCTAAAACTGTCCCAAATGATAGATTTCTTCTTGTTAGAGAGTCTTAATTTGATTATACTATTTCCAGTAAATTTCCGTGAATTGAAATCTTAGAGTTTCGTTTTTCTCTCTCAAAGTTGTATTTTATCAGAGAAAAGTTCATGCTAATGATTACATAAATGTAGTTTCCATCGATTTCTCATCAAATCTCGACTACTGAGAATTCCTCTACACAAATTCCACAACCAAAATAATTTATTCAAAACAAACTGGGATAAATTTGATTATGAGCTCAAATATGCAACCTATAATTTATTTGTTTGCTGCCAGAAATGAAATATCTATACGTAACACTTTACATCGTTTAATGCTTTCATAAATTTCATCGAGAAATGACTAATGAGACACTCATTTATTTAAGATTATTGAAATTAGACAAAATTTGACACAAATTAAATATTTGTAAATGAATGTGAAAATGTTATATGTTTGATATCAAATTAGAAATGAATTGAAAGCTTCATTATTCCACAAAACAAGAAGAAATTTTCTTGTTTTTATGGGGTTAAACTGTTGTACTTTTCATTCCAACTGATTCTTACTTATTTCTGCTGCGAGAGGAAAACTATAAATGCATTTCACACCTGTTAGTGAATGCAGGTGAAGAGAAAAGTTACTTACCCCTTTTGTTTGTTGTCTCAACTTTGCTGTTATCAGTTTAAATTATTCTTATTTCCTTCAGATTTTAATATTTCCTACCTGATTTATTTTCTTCACTACATTTTTCGGCAATAAAAAACATTTAAAACTTTATGGACTTTTTTGCATTTTGAACCATTTATAATTTTAATGAAGTTATATATATATAAATAGCTCAACTTACCTAATTACAGCACGAATGCGGCGATATATAGAAGTGAAAACAGGTTAGAAGATTAACAACTAATTAATCAATTAAGAATTAGTGAATGGATTTTTCAAGGTTATGAAATGTCTGTTACTATGTAAACTTTTATTATTGCATCAAGTCATCATCTGGTAAGCACACATTAAGTTATAATCCTTGTATTTGCCTAACCTATTTGCTTTTATGCTAATTAATCAAATTATCAGTATTATCAAAGTTATCCTCATGATTACTTTGATTTCCAATCATTTTTTTTAACACAACAATTCATGATAGTAAGAGTGAAAGCTGCAGTTTACTTTGCCAATTATCTTTGATTCTGTTAATATTGACAAAAGTCATTTCATTTGTTTTTGGATAAGAATCTAATTCTTCCTTTTCCTAAAAATGTTTTATGTTTGCTAAACCACAGTTCATGGTATCATAACATTATCTTTTCGTTAATATCATCTATTGCTAATAACAACTGATTATTTTAATAATTAACAACTAACAAAAAAAAAAAAATTTTTTTTTTTTTTTTGTTAAAAGGAAATGGAATAAATTCTTGTTTATCAAATCGTACAAAACTTTTTTCCAATGTCTCATTATTTTCTATACAAATGATTTCAAATTCTCGAAATCACTGCATATCACTAACAAACGAAATTTTCATTTCGCTTCTTCCGCACTAACAGACGGATATTTCATTGCCATCCGATGGCAGACAGGAATTGGGCGAAGCAAGGACGTAGCAGAACATACTCTCGACATTTTCAAGAAAATGAGCAAAGTATGACCACTTTGAAAACTAATCTTGAATCTAATATCCAATTGGTGAATATATTAAATGAAATAGTTTAGTATGGAAATAAAATTCATAAGAAGTTAATAACGGATTTTCCCATTAATAGTCATTAAATGAAGCCAAGCGACAATGTGGTGACCTCGCTTACCTACTCCCACACAATGCTGATGGCGTAATACATCAAAGATCTAATATAAACTTCGCATTTCTTTGAAATGAAATACAACGAATAAAAATAGAGCATGTTGAAACGACAGGTTAGAGGACGTACAAAGATCATTTGCTTCATTTGTTTACTTCATCTACTGTACACCTGTTTATAAATCATTGTCATATGTCATAAATCCATAACATATTCGTTTTAATTTATAAATTACAATAAGACGATTTTCTGCTCTATTTGGTAAGTTCGTTTAATTAAGTTTGTGATTTGTCAAAGAAGGTGTGACACATATGAAGCTATGTGAAAGCAAAGGATTCTTTAATTTACATAGGTAGTTGATTTCACCTTTCAATTCTTTTTTATCCTCTGTAAACTGCATGTTTCAGCTTAGTTTTTTTTTTCTTTTTTTTTAATGCATCAATTCGTTGACATCTTTTTTTCTGCTGTCACAAAATTCTTCATTTCATTTAACACTCCTATTTCATCTTGTTAAAATGTAAAAGATTTCTAGAATGTACTACGATAACAAGCAAAGAAGAAAATATTGGATTTGTTAATAAATGGCGTTGATTGTTTAGTAAACAGTAAAACTTATTTTTACCAATATACCTGGAAATTTAAACAGTGGCTATTTACGATAAAATCATAGCCCTTTCTAGATCATAATTTAAAAAAAAATCTTTTTTTTTAAAAAAACTTTTTTTCATTTTAAATTGTTCAATAATGTCCACTATTTCATTATCATAAATTTAATTAATATTGACATTAAAAATAAATATAAATAGTCATCGCAATTTAAAGTTTTACAATTTCCATTTATAGCATCTGCATATCTGCTCACAGAAACAATTTGATTGCACCACTTTCGCTGACCATTTTGATATTTGTTGAGAAGATTGGAAGAAACAATTGATTGTTACTCTGAATGATCAAACTTTTAAAATGTCATCCATTACTAACTGCCTTCTTTGCCTTGCTTTTCTGCTGGTATAGTTTCACCTGTCACTACTGGTAATATGTTCAATCCGAGATATATCCTTCCATTTTATCATTTCTGCTCATTTTTTCTTGTCTACTTTCTTATCATCCATTTTCTGATAGCTAGAAATAGATACCAATTATCACAGAGAAATAATCATGTCATGTCATAATTTTGTCATCGCACAATCGTTTTCGTTCTATTTTTAAACTTCAAAATAATTTTTACATTTTCTCAATAATTTTTATGTAGTTTACTTTTTTCTCAATTATAGTAGAACGCTAAATGAAAGCATTCGACATAAAAGCCAAAACTTAGATTTTTTTTGAAAAGAAGTAATTGAGCTATTTGAACCAATCATCTGATGGAATGAAATGGAAGCGAAACATCTGAATAATAAAAACGATTGTCACTCAAAAGCAGAACTCGCAGAATGAGATCCTTTTTTACCGGTTCGATTGAAATAACAACTAAGTTCCTGTTTTAACATCTGCAAAAATTTTGTTCTCCTTTCCATATCATATTTATGATTTATTTTCATTCTTTTTTGTTATTTTAACCTTTTCATTTCATATCAGTTCTTCTTTAATTTCAATTTGCTTCATTTTAAAATTCAATATGAAGTCATACTATTTAAATAAGAATTTCTTCCTTCAATCATTAAACGAAATATAACATAGCTTTTCATGGAAGTTTTTCATGCTGAAACTATAAAAATAAGTTCAGATGGAGACCAGTTCTGTACTTATGTATATACAAAGATGAGTCACTAATAATTACTGATAACAAAAAAATTATAAATTATCGATCTGAAATGTAATATCTTCAACACTTCCATTGCAAATCCATTTCTCTTCCATACCATTATCTCATCTCATTTCATTTCATTTCAGATAAAGGTGAAATTGATCTAATTTGTCACTATAATTCAGTTGGTTAAACAGCTCTAAATCTAATAATCTTTCTTCTTGATATTATGGAGAAGCATATTTGTATTTTATTAGTGGTATCTCTTCAATCGTATCTA